CCTTGTCGTGGATGGGATAGTTGCCTTCCGGGCCGTTCATTGTCTTGGAGAAGTAGCAAACAGGTCTCCAAAGCTCGTCAACCTTCTGGGAGAGAACTCCCGCGATGACTCCGTCGGATGCGTCTGTCTCCAGGCGGGTCTCGCGCTCGATCTGGTAGTGGACAAGGAGTGGGGTCGTGGTCAGAGCCTTCTTCAGGTGGTCAAAGGCTTCCTGACAATCGTCGGTCCACTGGAAAGCTCGATCCTTCATTGTCAGCTTCTGTAGGGGTCTCGCAATGTTGCCGTATCGTTCCACAAAGCGGCGATAGAAGTTGCAGAACCCGAGGAAGGCCTGAACTCCTTTCACCGTCGCTGGGGTCTGCCAAGAGGTCACGGCTTCGATCTTCTGGGGGTCAACTCGGATGCCGTCGGTTCCCACGATGAATCCCAAAAACTTAGTCTCGGTGGTGTGAAATTCACACTTCTTGAGGTCTGCTTGTAGGCCAGCTCCTCGGAGCTTCTGGAGTACCTTTTTGACATGCTCCTGATGTTCTTCTTCGTTGTCCGAGTAGATGATGAGGTCGTCGATGTAAGCCGTCAGGAAATGGTCTAGAAACTCGAACACCTGTGAGTTGATAAAGCTCTGGAAGGTTGCCGGGCCGTTGCACAACCCAAACGGCATCACCTTATATTTGTACTGCCCGTAGCGGGTGCGGAAGGTGGTTAAGTCTTCGCTCTCTGGGTCCATTCGGATGCGGTGGAACGCCTGTCGGATGTCTAGCTTGGTGAAGATCTTGGCCTTTCCCAGCTGTCTCAGGGTATCGTCAATTAGCGGGAGGGGGTACCGATTCTTGGTTGTCAGCGCGTTCAGCTTCCGATAGTCCACACAAACCCTCCATGACCCGTCAGATTTCAATGCAAACAGTACCGGGGAGGCGAAGGGAGCCGAGGAGGGCTCGATGAATCCGCGCTCCAAGCAGTCTTTTAGATAGGCCTTCAGGGCTTCCAGCTGGGTCAGGGTGTGCCCGTACAGTGGACTGGTTGTCAAGCCCTGTTTGCTTTCCACCTCGATCTTGTGGTCCGCTTCTCGGTGTGGTGGTAGGTTGTCTGATTCCTTCTTCGAGAACACGTCGGCGTATTCTTCCAGGTAGGGATGCTTGCTTGCTGCCGCCTCCATCGCCCTCTGTGTATCTTCGTCTTCTCCCTCGAGGAGCCTTTTCTTGTGATCGATCACCTTCTGAATGGAGTTGATAGAGCTGATTCCCACTGATACGAAGCTGTGTTGGTGCCCCGGGTTCCTCTTCAGCATCGTAGACATGGCTACAGCGCTGATCATTACTGCGCGGGCGGCGGTCTCAAGGCCTTTCGTGTCTTCGTATTGGCTCCATTCCCACTGGAGCCCTTCTGCAACCGTTCGTTCCTTAGGGGGGTCAGCGCTGTAAGGTTCCCGCAGCGCCTTTGCCATCTTTTGTTCGTGCTTGTAATGGTGGTCCGTGCTTGTCGCTTTCTGCGCCCCCTTATGTCCTCCCCGACCAGGGTGCAGTGGGTCGCACGGGCCGGCGGGCTCGGTGCAGGGTAGCTGCTCGGTGCGGGGTAGGTCCAGGGTAGGCGGATCGGGTTTTTTCCTTTTCAAGAGGCTCAGGGTCCGCTGTTCCTGTTGTCGGCGGTCCTGTTTCTCGATCGCGCCGTCGCGCCGCTGCATATCCTGCTGGTGTGCCGGGTCGACAGGCTGCGCACGCAGTTTTTCGTAGGGAATCTCGATTACCCGGTGGTGGGTGTCACGTGACCTTTCGGGTGGCCAGACGAGTCGTCGGTGCCTTGCATCGGGAAGCACGCCGTGGATCGCCAGCCAAATTCGGCCCAGGATCATCTGCTGGCTTGGTCCGAGAGGGGTTTCGAGGATGGGCGCCGAGTATTCCATTCGGCCGTCAACCCAGAGGTTCGAGACCAGTGCTGAGGTGATCGGGGTGCCGGGGCGTCCGTGGTAGTCGGTTACGGGGATCGACCGCCCGAGGGGGACGCGGATGAGGTTTAGTTTCTTTATTATCTCGGTGGACACTGAGGGATCGATCGCGGTATAGAGGTCTGCTCCTGTATCAACCAACGCAGTTAAGGTAACTCCAATTCCATTGCTAGTTAGGGTGCAGGGGACGGTGAGGCTGTCCCCGCCTATCAGTTTCTGGAGGTCTACCTTGATTGTCGATAGTCGTACATCAAATCGCCCTGGTAGGGAGGCTTGTCCCAGGGCAGCTAGTTTTCCGCCTCTGGGGCCGGAGGAGTAGTCGGAGTAGGTGCTGCAGCGGGTGTCGGAGCTGTGGTGGGAGCTCCCGTACCGAGGCGCCGGATCTCTGCTGCCATTCGCTTCGTGCAGTCCCTGGACGAGTGGCCGACTTCCTTACAGTAGAAGCATTTGTTTTCGGCCATCAGCTGGTTCTTCTCCTCCTGGCTGAGGCGTGGAGTGGCGCCTCTGCCTCCAGCAGGGGCTGGGGTGCCTGAACCTTGTCGAGCCGGGGTGCCACCGCGAGCAGGAGCACCAGAGCCTGCTCTTGTGCCGCTAGTAGAACCCTTCTCCTTCTTCTTTGGGCGAGCGAAGTCTTGTTGCTCGTGTAGGAGGGCCATCTCCGCACCGAGATGCCGGAAGGCCTCGAAGTCGATCCCGGAGTTGATGTAATCCCGGGCGAGAGCGGTCTGCAGCTTGTAAGTTAGCCGCCGGTTAAACTCCTTCTTCCATTTTGACTTCGGCTCCTTGGCTTGAGTCGCGTAGAGGATGAACTTCGAAGCAAAGTCCTGGTACTTGTCGCTGCCAGACATCGTCAGTTGCTCCAGGCTCTGTTCGGCCTTCTGGATCTCCATTGTGTCCTTGAAGGTATCCTCCAGGTACTCAAAGACTTCTTGAACAGTGGTAAAACGGTCCTCGTTCGTCTCATCGATATAGGTCTGGAGGTGCTGGAGTGCTGTGCCCTTGACCAAGCCAGTGACGTAGGCGAATCGATGGTCTTCGGTAGGGAACCAGTCGGCGTTTCCGGAGAGCTTCCGGTTCATCTGGCCCCTCCAAACCCTAAGTGTCAGGTCGTCGTCCATCGTCAGAGGGTCCGGGTCCTTGATCTTTGCGCTCCGGTGCCGGGAGCCTTGAGTGTTGTGGTCGTCGTCTTCCACGCTGGCCTGGGGGTGATTCGGGTCGCTGCGTTGAGCTAGCTTCGACCGGAGCCCTCGGGCCTCCCTGCTAGCCGCAATTGCCTCCTCCTGGGCCTCGGCCAGCAGGGAGTTCAAGTGGTCGCGGGCCTCGATGAGGTCCAGGATCTGCTGTTCCTTTGCCGCGTCGGGGTTAGCCTCCAGCTCTCGAACCCGCTGTAAGGTCTGTCGGAACAGGAGCTGGTTATCGATCGATACCCGGTGGAGAGTCTGGGAAAGAGAGATCGCTGCATCCCGCTGTGCGAAGAGCCTATGGATTAGCAAGAGAGTACGGCCTAGGTCCAAGCGGACCCAGTGCTGGTTGATCTCGTCGAGTTCTCCGTCTGAATCGCAGAGCTGGAGAGGGGTCTGGTTAAGGAGGTTATCAGTCCTCTTAGCAAATTCCTTAACGATGTCCTCGCCTTCAAGGTCCTTCTGTGCGAGTCGGTTATAGAGGTCCGGGAGAGGGTAGCTGCCTATATGCCCGTCGACGTGGGCCATCGAATGCCTGCTGCTGAGAGTTAAACCAATCTGCCGGAAGAAAGCAATGGTGTCCGACTCATCGTCGGTTCGGTTATAGTTTCCCTCGAGGGGTTTAACCCGCTCCCGGACTACTGCCAGGGGGTTGCTGTCTGGATGCTCCTCGGAGCCGTTATCCTCAGGGTGCTTCCCCTTTGGATCCTTTGATGGGACTGCCATAGTCGAGTGTGCCTGAATAGGTCTTCTGTTGTGTTGCCCCGCGGGTCTTCTGTCGAGATCTTGATGGATGTTCTGTCGCCGTCGCCGGCCGGTGAAGTGACTTTTAGTTGTAGTGTCACGGCGTGCACAAATGAACTTAGGACGAGCCTGAAGGTTGTACCCAATAACGAAAATACAACTAAAAGTAAAGAACTAAACTAAGTGCGGTTCCAGGGGAGAAACAGCGGCCTTTTATAGACGAGGGGACGGTCGGTTCCGGTCGGTCGCTGTTGCTGTTGCTTTCACAGGTTCCTGGATAGTTCCCAGATACAGAGCCCCTGTATCTAATCAACAAGGGACCTGTCTTGGTATTCAGTGAATGAAAGTGGATGCTTCAGAACCAAGCGTGCTGATTGGCGGATGTGTCGAGAGTGGATGCGCCAAAGGTGGATCCCCCGGTGCCGAGGGTGGGGCAGTGTATAAGTGGCTCATTACGTAACCAACCTTGTTGTGACTGCGCCGGGCCGTCACACCAACCACGCTCGCGCCCGGTCCTGCTCGTGCCGGAGTGGGAGCAACCCCCGTGTTTCTAGGCTGTGTACTGGGAGGATCAGGGGCTGGGGGTATCAGGGGCTGGAAGAACACAGTGTGTGGCACTCGCTGAACATCGGACAAAGGCCATAATCCCCCCTACCAGCTCCCGCTAGCTGGCTTGGGGTCATAGGTTCTTTCTCCGGTCCGTTAATTCAACAGTTTGGGCGAGTTGGTTCGAGTCTAACTCATACACACGATTGCTGCTGTTCCCAACAGCTTCCGGGTTCAATTCCTGGCAGGACAAACCAGGACACATCTCCGGATCCCAATCCAGTGGTTAATACCCACGATATCAAATATTCAAGCGTTCTGGGGCCTCCTGTTGTTACCGGCTACCTACTGAGGGATTAAAAGATAACGAAGGATTGCGGGCACCGGGGGCTTCAAATAAACAAACAACGGCACAGCTGTTCGCAGACTGTACCAACCAAATTTTGGAGCTTTTTTTCAGGGTCCGTGATGCTTCTTTTTTCATTATGCCTTCTCCATCAATCAAGACCTCCATTTCATACACAACCATCCTCGCATACGTAAGGTATCCAGCGAGGAGCACCCACGAGCCAAACAACTAACCACACCGAGAATCAACACAAAAACACCATCATCACATTCACCCAAACAACACCAAAAGTCCTCACCCCCAACCCAACCAAGAAAAAAACCATATCATAAATAATCAAAACACCCCCTGCCTCCAGTCCAGCCTCCACCCAACCCAGCATTACAATTAGACTACAATCCCATCCGGCAGGACGCTGCCCGCAGTGGCCAACAGTGAAAACGAAGAAACCAAAAAACACAAGAGAAAAACTATGCTACATGCTGCTGTTGTAGAGGGCGCAACAACCGCTCAACGGCCTTGACCTGCCCCCTGACCTTGCTCTGCCTCTGCGCCATCTCGCTGAACAACGCGTCTGCTGCGCCGCCCGAGGGCCCCGGCGGCGGCCCTTGGTCGAAGCCCGCCATTGATCGGAGGACGCCGGCTTTGTGGTTTTGTTGTTGTTGCTGTGGGTGTTGTTGGGAGTGTGCATGGTTGGAGGTCGCTGACAGCGATAGGAAGGCGCGGTCAAGCTGGTTGAGGAGGTGGCTTATCAGGTTGGTCATGATGACGGCTTGGGTCTGGTACGGCGGGAGGAAGGTCGCGTCTGGCGGGGTGCGGGGCGGTGTTTGCTGTTGCTGCTGCTCGGCGAGGTAGAGGAGTAGCGCGGCCGACAGGTGCTCGAAGATGCCCAGCAGGGCTTGGTGGCATGCGTGGACCATCAGGCATGCTGACGAGTCTAGCGCGGCGTCGATGGTCCGGCCGTCCGTGTGCGCGTTTGGGGGTTCTGAAAAGGGTGCGGCCTGTCTCCTTGCCGCAAAGCGGTCGACGGCGTCGATCAGAGAGCAGGCGGCGTCGAACCCGTTGTTGGTTGCGGGCCATGACCACGGCGCCGGGGCCCCGACGGGGGAGGGCAGGGCGCGCCCGGCAAGGTGGATGCGGACGTTGATCTGTCCTAGTTCCTCGAGGAAATAGTCCGAAGACGCCGGCAAGCACCACGAATAACCGCCCACGATGTTCTCGGCCGCCGGAACCAGGTTAGCAGCGGGGTCTTGGAAAACCGGTGCGTATGCAACGCTGGGCCCGGCCGGGAACGAGGTCACTGGGCACATGTCGGCCAGGGACTGAGTGCTGTCGCAATGGTATGATGGCGTCTGCCAGTCCTCAGTAGGCGGTGGGGTGTCGAGACCCAGACTGTGGTGCGTGATTTGTTCGCAAATTGGCGTGGTGACAACAGGCGAGGACACTGTCCGAGACGGGACAAACTCGTGCGTGGACTCTTGGGAGTGCTCCGAATTATTGAAGCCCATACCGCCGAAGGGATGGCTGAGCGCATGGGATGATGATGGCGGCGATGGTTGAAAAGATGTCTGTGATGAAGATGAAGAGGATGAACATCTCGAGGCCCTTCTGGTGCGCTTGCGAGGGGGAGCTATGTTGGAATCCCGTCGGCGTCGTGGGCGGCCGGATCGAAGCTGGGCTTCAACTGCTGTTAGCCTGCCAAGAGTCCCTCTGCAGCCTCGGAACCAAGAGTCGGGCACTTACGGCTATAGATGCACACCGTCCCGGCCTTCCGACATCGCCCGCAAGGAACGGGTGCGACAACGTGCCCATCGGGGTTCGATTCGCCCTCTTCTGCGATGCCCCCGAGAGTCAAGGCGCCATTCGGCCCTTCCGTAACGCAGCGGACCTTTTGTTCATGGCAGCGGTCGCACGATTGCCTGCGAGGCATGGGGGGAAGCACCGGGTCGAGGGGTTGTGAGCGTGGCGGCGAGTCCATGATGTCCATCGTGGTGAGTGTGTTGGCGACTGCGGTCTGTGGATTGGCACGTCGGTTGCAGTTTGTTTTGACTGTCGGCACGTCGAATTATAGCTTGGAAGTGGTCATCGATCTGCCGCTCTGCGGCCAACGGTTTTGTATCTCTTCGTCCTCTTGGACCAGGGTTTGGCGTGAAAGAGGGCCACTCCACTCGGCAGACCCACGGTGGCCGCGACCTAACTTAAGTCAGGGTCCGGGGCACCCCTGCCTGTGTCTGGAGTTAAAACAGGAAGCCCAGTGGTTGAGGCAGAGGTGGGATCAGAGATGTGCCGCCGACGTGCTGCTGTTGGGTTGCGGTGGGGGGTGGCCGCTCATCATCTTGGTATGTATGTACATCCATCTCAACTGCATCTGAAGTTGTCGGTAGCATCGATTCCTACGCGGCAAGCTGTGTATGACGGTTAAAAACAAGCTCTCTGTGGCACTGGGCGTTTCTGAAACCCGTCATCGCTGGGCCTTGTTTACCGCGAGGCGCCGACTTGCACACGGTACCTCGGTACACAGTCCTTCTCCGCCGCCTTCCGTTTTCTGTTTCTTGACGCCCGAGCAGGTCCCCGGTAGGCGGGGGTGAAACTGAGATTGCGTCCGTGTCCAGCACAGAGGAGAGAGGTTGCAGATTGAGACGCCGCCGCGTGGTGACTTGGGTGAGAGTCGGACGATGTCCTTGGCAAAGCCAGCCTTGCCCCTGTGCCACTCGCCCGAGCACGCGTGAAACCAGTGCCCGAGTGGTCGATCCAATGCGGGAAGCTCGCAAGGTGCCCTCTCTTCTGTTTTACGGCGGCCAATCACTCTCTCCCGTGTTCGACCGGAGCGGTGGCCGCAACGGTGCCCCAGTGCGCACCAAACCCGATCGATCACCGATCTTTCTCCCTCCTCTTGGCGAACAGACCAGCCTCAAACCGCGTTAGCTTGCGCATCACGGACGACGTCGACAAGATGTGATTCACGAGCTGTCCACCCGGCTAAGTTTTGATCCGGGGCGGCCGCGCTTTGGGCAGTTCAAGGCTGAGCAAGGTGGAGGCAGGGTTTGTTTGGTTTTGACGATGCCACTGTTGCCACAGAGAGGTTGGCATGGAAAGCGAGAAACCCCTTGTGCCCTCCCTCCCTTCACCAGTTCCTTCCTGCCCCGGGCAGCTGCCCAGGTCTCGAGTGGAGTGCTGATGCCTGGGGGGTATCAGGTCGTTCCTGCATGCGAAAAGGAGCAACCAGAACCTGGAAGGTGGGGTCGCACCATTGCGATCTCAGAAAATTGCCCCCTTAACCCTGGAGGGCAGGTGGGGGAACGGTAAGCAGGGGACCCCGACTGGCTCTTCTCCGTGCCACAGGAGAGAACTTAAAAAAAAGAGAAAGCAGGACCAGGCTGCTGGAACTCCCCGGCCTCGACCAATCTTATCGTCAGAATCCTTGCAGGATTGTTTCCACCGAACAAGTCCGGTCCCGAGCCGGCTAGGCCAATTCCAAAATTTGCCCGAGCCGGCGCCGTTTCCATGATGACGGTGCTGTTGTGAGTTGAAACTTTGCATTTTTAGATGGTTTGGAGTCGTTCGTTCCTGTGGCTCACTGTGCTCACCTAGGTGGTGTGGGAACGGGCGATCGGGTTTTGGAGCTTCGACTTCTTTCCTTCCGGCGAGACATCAATTCGATCCGCGTCACTTCCACCAGTCGGTTCATTCTTATGTGGATCAACCATCGGGCAGCAGTTTGGGCTGGGGCCGATCATCGATTTCCCCAGGGCCTCCCAGGGTCCCCTAGGAGAAAACGTCACGGCGGCCGCACGTGCGCAGGTTTCACGCGCGAGTCATTTTCGAGCTCTTTGGACCAAACGCCTTGACAAGAACGGCCACTGACTCTCCCATCTCATTAGCATTAGCGCCAAAGACTCGAGGAGAACTTGCTAAAGGTAACGTCACGTCTTCGTGGACAAGTTACTGGGCAAATTCAGGCCCAGGCAAAGGGCAAAGGGCAAAGTGACTAGGATGGATTGGTTACGTCTCATCGGTAAGCCCGAGATGCTTTATCTCCGCATTGGCAACGGGGGAAGAAGCGGCATTGCTAGCTAAAAAGCACTCGCAGTCGACGGCGGGCCGCCTTACCACGCCGATAGTTCTGGGATGTTTTTTTGGGTGCGTGAGGCCAACACGCCAATGATGAGGCGAGTGGAACACCGAGTGAGCACAGGTGGGACCCCAACGAGTGCCGAGACATTGAAGCCCGTTGCGGAGACGTGGCGGGTGGATGGTGCGATGTTGATCGGCGACCAGGTGATGCTCAAAACCTCGAATTCCAGTTTCCCGAGATAACCCCAAACCCTGCAACTGCACGGCCTGGTTTCTCTTCAGTCATCAAATGGTGCCCGTCGACACGAGGAAATCAAGGCGGTCAACCTTGACCGGACGTTCGCTTGCTCCCCCCCCTTGAACGGGAGTTCCCGGCCCTACGTAAGAGATGAAGGGGCTTGGAACCTTCACGAGATCGGGGCTTGCGAGGTGGCGAACATCTGCAGCAGGGAGGTGCTTTGTACAGCCCTGCGTACTCGTACATCCATCTCGGGCTGCCTCGGACATCTCCGTGAAGCTTGCCTTGCCAGTGCTTGACTGCCCTGCAGGTTTATGCCCGTGCTCATGCCTGGGGAAGTGGGCACAGCCAACGCGCAGGGGACTAGGAACCCACACGAATTCCAAATAACGACCGCGAGTGGCCTGTTGCGGGCATGCGGGTTGCTGCAGGTTCCGGCTCAGCCCATCACGGGCTTGCGTTGTTTCTTCGTACCTACGACGTACAGTAGCCCCATGCATTCCGGTAGAGCTTGCACAAGCCACGGAGGGCCTGCCCCGGCCGGCCGGCATCCCCATATCCCGGTGGTGCGCAAAAGAGGCACGCCCGCGAGGCACGACCGTTCGCTTCGCTTTGAGTTACAGGGGCCCGGTCGCATCGCTTGCCCCTTGGCACAGGATCAGGAAGGTGCCGAGCCCTAAGCGCTGCTCACAGGTGGGTTGTCTCACTTCGCGACCGTCGTCACGTTGATTCCGCTAGACCGCTCGTCGAGGTCGTCGAGGTTGTCGAGGTCGTCGAGGTCGTCGTGGTGGGCGGCGGGAGCCATCCGATCCACCACATCCATGGCCGGGCCCCAACCGTCCATGACGCGATGGAATGCTATGATAAGCGGGCGATAAGCGGCCAGGGAGGCGTTTGACGTTGACGACGCGGCGCGGCACAACCCGCATGTGCCGCTGGATGTTTCCCAGCTGGTAGCATCGACGAAGGGATGGTTTCGAGTCTGGGTTTAAATAGGTGCCTTCGGGTATCTTTTTACTGCGAGCTGCCCGAAATTTAGGATCGGGCCCAAGTTGGAGTGGGCCGTCAACCTCGAATCTTCGATGAGAACGATACACAGTAAGGTGGTCGCGGCCGGAATCGGCTTGGACATACACACTAAGGACAGCAAGATGGTAGGACGGCTTGGCGCATGAGGGGTAGGAAGGCTAAGAGGGACGTTGACATAACAGGAACAACCTTAACAGGCCATGACCCTGCGACCATTGAACTCTCCCCGTCCCAGCGGCTTAGAATGGAACCTCGCGTATCTCCCAAATCTCGACCCTAGGAACGAAACGAAAGCCCCCGGGAAGTCGTTGCATTTACTCGTTTTACTTTTTGCTTTTACTCTGTTTCGTATTTGGTTTGTTTTGCTCAATTTCCTTCATTTAATTTCTACTTCATTCTGTCTTCCTTCAACTGGGTGGCCGTCTTTTTTTGGTCAGAAAGTGGGTTTCAACACCTACAACGCCTTGTCGTTTCAATGGTGGAATTCCTTGGTGCTGGTAAGATACCACATCCCTTTGCCTTGTCGGTCCCGAAAGTTTAGTGTAGTTCCACTGCTGGGCCACCATGCGATAATATTACATACATATCCATGTCGATCTACTATGTAGGTGACACTCCGTGCCGCATTGCGAATCCTTTCGCAACCGCTATGGATTTAGTACAGAACGCTAACGTTATCGGCCTACCTAGCCGCCCCAATAATGCCAACTAGGTCCGGGAATAAACCATGGCAACCAAACTGATCTTGGAACTCATCCTACGGTAACCCTGAACCCCCTGAGCTAAACGGTCATCTGGTGCTTAATTCATTAATAGTGTTGCAGGCTGCAGTGGAATTCAACCATTCGCTACGGCCGTTCCCAAACCAAACTCCTGGACTCCTTGATGTGACATAACAAGGACTTGGCAGGGGGGTTTTGGAACGTCATGGTGCATTGGTTCCTCAAACTACTGCAAGTAAAGATGCGAACTGAAGAAGGTTTATTAAATTCACGAAATAGAGTTCCGACACGGCGTTGTATGGAGGCACCAAGAGCATACCAAAACCGGCCTAGTTTGCGACACCCGAAGACCGGGATAGGACACGTGGTAAACCACACAACGCCAGGCTCAAGCCTCGTGGTTCTAGATAACAATGAGATAGGCCCGTCTCACCTATAGCGTCGTAAAGCCCCCGTCCACAGGGAGATAGGTGCCCGTCATGAACCGCGACAGATCACTGGCCAAGAACAACACGGCACCAGCCATGTCCTCGGGCAGGCCGTTGCGGCGCATCGGGCAGATGGCGGCGACCGACTCCTTGACGTGGGGCGCCATGGGCACGGCGGCGTCGGTGAGGGTGACGCCGGGCGCGACCGTGTTGGCGCGGACGCCGTGCGGGCCCAGCTCGGCCGCGAGCGAGCGCACGAGGGCGTCGACCGCCGCCTTGGCCGTGCTCTGCGCCAGGAACCCGCCGTTGCTGCGCTTCGACAGCGTGCTCGACAGCGTGATGATGCTGCCGCTGCCGCGCGAAACCATCCCGGGGGCTACCGCCCGGCACGGGTGGAATACTGCCTTGAGCTCGTCGCTAACCTTTTGTTCGAGGTCTGCCCACTCGTATTCTAGGAAGGGCCGGTGCCGGAAGTGGATGTGCGCGTTCACCACCAGCACGTCGATGCGCCCGAACTGCGCCTGGACGGCCGCCACCATGGCCGCGACCTCGTCGGCGCGCGTCACGTCTGCCCCGAAGACCTCGGCCGTTCCACCGTCGGCTTCGATCATTTCCTTGACGCTCAGGGCTTGCGCCTTGCTGTCGCGGTAGTTGATGGCAACCTTGGCGCCCTGCTCCGCGAGCAACAGTGCGGTGGAGAGCCCGATGCCGCGGCTGCCGCCCGTGACTAGCGCCACCTTGTCGTGGAGCAGCCCGAACCCCCGGGCCGGTCTTGGGGCCCGTGTCGCGGAAGGTAACTCACCGGACGATGATGGCCGGTGCCCGATCCGGCTGTCGATCACGGCGGCGATGGACTCCAGCCGAGGCGCGCTGAAGAGCTCTGACAACCCAAGCTCGACGCGGAACGTATCTTTGATCCGCGCGAGCACCCGCATAGCCGAGAGCGAGTGCCCGCCGATCTCGAAGAAGTGCGTCTGGCGGCCGATGCGCGCGGCGGGCATGTTGACGACAACGCCCCAGATGCCGGCAAGGGTCCGCTCTGTGGCGCTCGCGGGGGCCTCGTATTTGCCGCCGGTCTGCTGTGGTTCGCCCTCGGTTTCGAGCAGTGCTCGGCGGTTCAGCTTGCCGTTGGGCAGCTGCGGCATTGCGTCGAGAAGGACGAACGTGTCCGGCACCATGTACTCAGGGAGCCTATCTTGCAGAAACGCGCGCAGCTCCGCCATCTGCACGGCCTGGTCCGGCGCGCTGGTGTAGAACGCGGCCAGCCGGTCGCCTCGGGCCACGACGGCGCCGGCGGTAATGCCCTCGTAGTCCCCCATCACCTGCTCGACCTGGCGCACGTCTATTCGGAAGCCCCGCACCTTGACCCGGAAGTCCCGGCGGCCGATGAAGTCGAGGGTGCCGTCCGGCAGGTACCTGACGACGTCGCCGGTGTTGTAGAGACGGGTACCCGGCACGTCATCGAAAGGGCTGGGCAGGAAGCATTCTGCGGTCAGGGCATCGAGGCCGTGGTACCCGTCGGCCAGACCCACAGATGCGACGTGCAGCTCTCCCGGAACGCCGTCAGGAACCAGCCGGCCGTGGCGATCGAGCACGTAGACCTTGGTGTTCGCGATTGGCGTCCCGATCGGGACGAAGTCGGCCGCCCCGTCGAAGGCCGCGGTATCGTAGTAGGTGACGTCGTTGACCTCGGTACAGCCGTAGTTGTTGAACAGGCGCGCGTCCGGGAACGCGTCGCGGAAGCCAAGGACCTGGGCTTTTGACAGCGGCTCCCCGGCGGTGATGCAGATCCTCAGCGCGGGCAGTCGTTTGCCGCTCGACTTTAGATGCTCTACGATACTCGCCAGGTGTGACGGTAGGATGTTGAGACGGCTGACGCGGCGATCGGCTACGGTGTCGACGAAGGCTACCACATCGCGAACGGTGCCGTCGTCGATGGTCACCTGCGGTATGCCGTTTAGCAAGCCCGAGAACATCTCCTTGACTCCGGCGGCGAAGACCGACGTCGTTTTCTGACCTACAACCTCGCCAGGCTGGAACGGTAAGCTCCTCTCCAAAGAGCTCAGCCAGTTATTGAGCTGGCGATGAGGTACGCGGACACCCTTGGGCTTTCCAGTAGATCCCGACGTGTACATGACATATGCCAGCGCATCCGGGTGAAGAGCCTGCTCGTGATACACGCCTGGGGAATCCGTGATCTCTTCGACGCGCAGGCACCGCGAGTCGTCGACATCGAGCAGCATCTGGCTTTTCGCGTCACAAATTACAGTGCTCGGGCCCGCGTCGTCAATGATCTGCCGGGAGTAGGCCGCGGGGTACGCCGGGTCGAGCGGCACGTACGCGGCTCCCGCACGCCAAACGCCGAGCAGCGTGGCGAGCAGCTCACCACCTCGGGGAAGGCACACCGCGACAAGATCACCGGGTGTGGTGCCCCGCATCGCGAGGGCGTGTGCGACGCTATGCGCGCGCCTAGACAAGTCGAGGTAGCTCCAGGAGCCGTGCCCATCCCAGCACGCCACTGCCTCCGGAGACCGCTGCACCTGTTTGTCGAACCGGTCCACAAAGGACAGTGGCGGCACCTCGACCGTCGGAGCAAAGTTGCTTCTCTTCAGCAGCTCCGCAACGTCCGAGTCGCGTAGTAGCGACAGGTCAAGCACGCGTTGGCCGGCGTCGCGGAACATGCCTTCGAGCACGTTCTGGTGGTGAGCGAGCAGGCGCTCGATAGCCGCGCGGTCGTACAGGTCGGCAGCGTACACGACCTCGACGGCCAGCCCGTCCGCACCCCCGGCGTACGACAGCTCGATCTCGCATCGCGCCGGGGCGCGCTCCCGCGCCAGAACCTCGAGGACCGCCTCGTCGGCCTCGTCCGGCTCCGGGTAGGAGTTGAACGTCACGTTGTCCGGCAGTGCGGCGCCGAGTGACGCCTCGGGGAAGTTCTGGTGCCTCATCACGATGGGCACCAGCGGCTGCCCGCTGCCGCGGTGCGCCACGCTGGTTGCCTGCAGGATCCGTTCGAACGGCACCGGGTGTTCGAAGGCGTTCAGCACCTGGGAGCGTACCGCCCTGAGGAGATCGGCGACACTGCTCTGCTCGTCGACCTGCATCCGCAACGGCAGGATGTTGACGAAGAAGCCGATTAGCGGCTCGAGTGCGACATCCGGCCGGTTGGAGGTCGTGGTTCCGATGCACAGGTCGTCCTTGTCGGCGTAGCGGCTGATGGTCACGGCCAGCGCCGCGAGCAGGCACATGAACATGGTGCTGCCGTTCTCGCGCGAGAGGCGCTCCAGCTTCTGCGCAAAGTCACGGGCGTACTGGTACACGAAGCCCCCGCCCCGAGTGCCGGATTTCCGCTGGCGTGGGTAGGTCGTCGGTAGCTCGAGGCTGTCCTCGTACCCCTTGAGAGTTTCGCTCCAGTACTCGAGGTCGCCGGACATATCCGAAGCCCGCTGCGCTCGGGCATAGTCTCTGTACTGCACCGTCAACCGCGGTAGCTCGGGTTCCTGTGCCCGGCAGAAGGCCGCGTACGCGCTCTGCAGCTCAGATCGGAGGATGGCCTTGAGGGACCACGCATCCGCGGCGATGTGGTGCACGTTGAGGAGCAGCAGGTGCTGGGCGTCGGGTAACCGCAGCAGGCGCGTGATGAAGATGGGCCCCCGGCGCAGGTCGAAGCGGTGTTCGAGGAACTGGTCGAGGGCGTCCAGCAGTTGGGAGTGGTCGACAGGCAAGGCCGGTAGATGCACGTATCCCGGCTGTGCAACGAATTGTAGCGGCTCCCCGTCCCCCGTTACGCCGTAGGAGGTACGTAGGCTCTCATGGCGGGCCGCGATGGCGTTCACGCTCCGCTCGAGTGCCAGGACGTTGAGGCCGCCTCGGACAAGCAGCATAAAGGGGAGGTTGTAGCTCAAGTCGTCTGGGTTGCGCTCCTGGTGGACCCAAAGCCGCTGTTGAAACCACGACAACGGGCTGCCGTCATGGTCCGCCACGGGTAACTCGCCCAGTGTGTCAGAATGAGCCGTGATGCCGTCCATGTTGGATCCCATTGTTGTCAAGGCCTCGCCCAATAAACGGTTGTTTAATCAAGTCGGCGGTGGTTCGTGGCCGGGGCGGTGGAATTCAGGGCAGGGCCCTGAGAGCAAGGTCGGTTCAATCGGTTGTTGGGGGCCGGGCGATGGATCGAGTCCAAATAGGGAATCCAAATAATCCAATGGGCCCGGCCACATCGTGGGCATGACTGCATGCATGACTGCACAGAGCAACCTTACCTTAAATAGTCTGTCCCTTAGCGTGAATTCCCACGTAACCCGGTGGATGGGAGGGGCAAGTCGGAACGATGTAGCTAAGGTGAGGTACTTGTGCCGCGTCAGCACAATGCCAAGCCCACCCTCGAGGTGCAAGACAGGTCTCGGAAAACCATCATCAACGGATTCCCGAATTCTCAATTATCGTGTTGTGCTGCTGATTGAATTGGTGTGCTGTTAAGGAATACACGAGGGTTGGGGTTATGTAGGTCGGCACGTCGGGATGTATGGAGTGGGGCACGCTCTTCGTAAAAAAAGGCTGAGCTCGGCAATGCGAGGCTCGGGATGCTGAAAGGACCCACTCCCTGCGCCCATTGCGTGAGAAATCGTGGCGGTGAGGACGGTGAGGCAGGAGAGGACAACCATGATAAGGGCAATATCAGTTAGCAAGCTAGGATTATACACAATTTGAGTCTTTGGGCCACGATTAATGCCTCAATGTGTAGTGGGCACAAGTGCGGCAGCTTTTGGCTTCTTTGTTCAGGGGTAGAATTCCTCATTTGTTGTCCCCAAATACAACCCCTATTTCCCGTTCAGGGGTCAAGGGTTAGGGGCTGGGTTCGGGTGATCAAGTCAGTGGCACCAAAGCCGGCGGTAGAGGCCATCACTCAGTCAATTACTCATGTCCAAGGAACATCAGGCGGTAATTCATAATTCATCAAGTTTATTTCTTATTCTGGAACACCATTAAACAGGGGAGCGGGGGGCAACCGGCTTGATCACCCCAGATCAACACCCTCACCCCTTCACAGTCTCATCCTCTGCACCCCATATTCTAGAGGCTCCGCCCCAAACCCGCGAGAAAAGCTGTTCGCCATTGCAATGACAGGCCTGTTGGATGCCTGTTCCTGAATGAGGAGACGGGGGGGTTGCTGTAGCGCATGGCTCTCACCATGGGGGATCACCAGCTGCTGCTCCGTTCTCATCGTCTCCCTATAGGCCAGCAACTGCTCAAAGTTCATACCGTCAACCGTCTCCGAGAGGGGCGGGCCGGCCCGGAAACCGGGGTTGGGCCGGAAGCCGTTGGCGCCGTTGCTGGTGATGGAATCAATCATCTTGGCGGTCGAGTCGGAGCACCTGCGGGCTCGAGCGGCTTGAGGGGGCGGGGCCTGAGGGCCGACGACGCGCTCGTGGTTGTTGATGACGCGGCGAAGCAGCGTGGCGATGCGGCCGGATATGTTGGGACCCTGCTTGGCCGACGAGGCCTGGCGTTTTGGGGCCTGCTGTTTCAACCGCCGCACGAGGCGGTGGAGGTCAGCTGGCTTGACCTGCCAGAGGAGGGGGTTCACGGTGGAGTCGGCCATACCATCACGCCGAAAAGCACGTTGGAGCCGTGGGAAGTTGGTGGGCTGGTCCTTCGGTTTGTGGGGCTCGATGGGTGTGTCGAGACTCAGGGACGAGAGTGCGTCGCTGACGGCGTGGGAAGCGCGCGGTTTGGGGTGGCGCCGGTTCATCTTCCTCTCCCCCTGGTAAGACCTTCTGCCCCGGCCATTTCCCATGGTGCCGACGTGCTTTTGTGTTGGCGATTGATTGAGAGTATGGTCACAGGTGTTGGAACCTGTTGTTCTTAACCGCAATGGAAAGTCCAAGTAGGAATGGACGTGGCGTATATATGTATCACTCGGAGTGAGCATAAATGGAATCGTTGTAACGTCTCATGACTTTGAACATCTCGACTGTCTTTCCCTCATCCCGGTGGTTCGAACTTCACCACCCGCGTGTGTGATGCGGACGTATCAGCCCGCACTTCGAAACTCGGAACAGCCGAGATGTAGCAATGATAGGTTCGAGTGGGCGGTGACAACCGGAATGGGCTTGCAAGAGAGCATGCGTTGGACCAAGGTATCGCCAGCGTCTACTTTAGGCGGCAGAAAGACTAGGAAGAGACGGGGGAGGGGGAGGGAAAGGAAAAGGAACCCGGGAACAATGTAGGAAGAACTAGGGATATGAGAACAATACGATCGTGTTGCGAATGCTATGATTCGAGACATGATAATAGTACACTGTAGTCTTAAGAGACACTCGTAAAAGCCATCATAAAGAAACGCGCTTCATGGAACCTCGACTCAAACACTGAGGATGCCCGACTGGCGGACATCGGTGCATCTGCCGCCGAGGGATCAAGCGTTGATGGCACAACGCATCTTACGCAATTTGGTAAGCCACCCCCGTAACTACCTCAATAGCACTTAGTAACTAATGTGAAGAACAAAGTCCACGCCCGCCGCCCGGAATGAAGCGCCAATATCCTCCAGTTCCGATCGTATCCCCGATTCAGGGGGAACATCTCCCGAGGCCTCGTCTTCGGAGTCAGAAAACTCAAAGTTATCAGAGCAGTCGACGTAGATCTCTATCGAGCGCAAATTCGGATAGTCGCCCACCTTGCACGCAACCAATAACTCCCGCAGGTGAACGCCGAGCGTGTGATGGTACCGACGAATTTTGAGCGTGCATATCGAGGAAGGGAGCGTTGAGGTGAAGAGATATACATCATCTTCCTCGCCCCAACAATACCGCACGTGGGCGTAAAGAAAGGTTGACTCGGTGTAGAGCGTCTGCAATGTTCGGAATTTCTGGAGGAGGGAGATGTCAAGGAGAAGTTCATTTCCCTGCGACAATCCGTAGTCAGAGTTCGTGTAGCTCAGCTCCCTTAGCGTTTTTCTCCAACGCCGCAATGCTTTGAGAAGCTCATGGAACGACACGCCCCGACGAAACGCCTGTGCTGTTCCGTGTCGCCGATATCTCATTCTGGACAAATTTGGCCCAACTTTGGCTAAAAAGGTGACCAGGGGGTCCATGGTCAAACAGCATTTATCGAGGCTGAGCTCGGTGAGATTCTGCAGTGGCGGAAGGTCGAGTCCCCCAAACTCAAGGTTGCTCCCATAATTGTCAAAGTGCAGAACCCGAAGATTGGGCGCCAACGCGATGATGGGAATGGTTTTATCGATCCCGGACGGGAAGCTTTGTTCCGCGGGGCTACCGAAAGCCAGTCTCGTCAGTGATACTAAGGGCGGACTAGACGAAACCAATCCGGAGAGGAAGGCTGGAAAGGAGACGATAGCGGGCCTGGGGTGGCGCTCGGGTAGTTGAAAATGTGCACTCTCCAAGTTTGGCACAAGTCGCAATAGTATCGACATCAAGGCTGCTTGTTCGGCCATCTGGCCGATAATGCCTACATTCTCGGGGGCGTTGTTTAGAGCATCCTCAACGGCCACGCGGCTTTCTACCGTTGATATCCTAACACTGCGCAAGAGATCCCGCACCGCATTGAGGATTGGTGGTGGCAGTGGCGGACGAGACCCTTGAACCAGTCCCCGATGAGGTAAAGGATACCCGACGTCTAGTTCCCGGATTCGCAGCGCTCGAGTAGGCCGGTTTGTCAACGTGTCGAGGAGAAACCAAAGCGACCAGTTCCGGGTAAAAGTGCAGTGACTCAAATATTGTCCTGCCACAGCGTGTAGAGTTCTGTTCACGCGACTGATATTGAGTAGGTCCGTAGAGCCAGAGCGTGAGCCCAGCTCCGGTGGTGGGCAAACATCGCCCATGTGGTCTTGCTTGGCGTTGAAGGGCCACGTATCCCCTTGGTCTTTTCGTACGCAGTGGGCACAGAAGTAGCTGCATATCTCAGCCAGGAGCTCCAGAGGGAGTGAGTGCAAGCTTCGATGGCGTGTCTCAGGCCGTGGGCGGCTGGAATCAGACATTTTGGCCAAAGGATCAACGATGTTGATGTAGGTCGCTGTCGAGCACCAGTTGTGCTTTAGGACAGAGGGTCGCGTAGCGCGGGCCCGACAGAGAGGTCGCAGGCTGCTTGGACAAGTCGCATCACAACCAGGTTCGTGCTCCTAGGGTATAAAAGACCGTGTATGTGTTGCGTTCTGCTACTGTACACCGGTGTTAGTTAAAAGTCATCTAAAGTCCTTAATGTTTCGGGTGAACGCACGGAAATCGCGCAAACAAGCCGGCAGGCGTTGGGTTGTTGTTGCCTACCTATCAACATCGGCAGATCTATTCGCTGTCACCGTGATATATATGACTCGTATTAGTGATGACTGGGCATTGAATATGCTGGAGCCTAAATAGCAATTACCGGATATAGCAGTGCTAGAATCCTTTGCTTGATCCTTCATCTTCCTCCTCAACCAGACTTCCGTTCCCGCGGACTTGTTTCTCCCGGTTTATTCACGTAATTTCCTCTCGCTTGGTCTGGCACCCGCCAGGCTTCTAATGCTCACAAAAGCTGTACGTTTCGTGCTGCCATCTGGTCCTGGCCGCGTCCTGAAACACCGAACGGGACGTCATCAATTTCAGACGGTGCTCCTCGGCCTCCTCGCGGCTCATCGGCAGCCCATCTCCCAACTCCTTCCTCACCATGGCGAGCAGCTCGACCGGTAGCTTCGGCTCGCCGGCCTTGCCCGCCGCCAGCGCTTCGGCAAGCTGATCTCCGCCGACGCCGCGCTCGACCAGCAGCTGGGCGATTTCCGGCGGTATGCCCGACAAGTCATTATTACCCTCGCTGGACGATGCGCCAAACGCTTTCTCAGCCCACCAGCTGTCCTGCTGCGGCGGCACGTTCGCCGTGCTGATGATGCGCATCTTGGGGTCGACCAGCCACAGCGCGATGAACCGGCGGTGGCCCGGCTTGGTCGGATCGGCGAGCCGGAAGCCGGAGACGCGGTGTTGGAAGACGTTGGGGAAGGCGAGCAAGCGGCCCGGAGGGGTGAGGACACTGCCGTACCTCTGCAGGCAGGCGCTGCCGCTGCCGCACCCAAATCTGGCACCGTATATGCTCTCCATCCAGTGGTAAGCGTCCTGTCCGACTTCGAACTCGTCTTCCTGCTCACGGGTCGTAAAAGTGCGGAAGTCGAGGTGGCTCTCGGTAATGTTCTCGGAGTCGAGATAGTAGAGCGCCGTGCCGACAATGTGTTCGTTCATCTGCCCCTCGACGTGCCATCCGCCGGGCGAGAACTCGGGATTCTCGGGTGTGAGCTCGATGGAGGCCATCTTGACGATGATTTGGAGGCCGGTATCCTTGAACATTTCGCGTAGTGTTTTCTTCGGATCGACGGCATAGTCGACTTTGCTCGTGGAAAAGGCTGGCGGCCGAAGCTGAATCGGCTTGCGGGCTTCATACCAACGTTCCTCCAATTCGGCCTGTTCTTCACCTTCCAGATCGGCGTAATTTGGCTGCCCGGTCGATTTCCTCTCATCGTTGGATAGCCCCGTTTGCCCCAGTAATTCCTCATCCAGGTTTGCGGCTGCTTCCATTTCCATCATTTCGGCCGCTGATTTTATGTCCCAGTTATCTGGATTCTCGTCGCTGAGCAGACATGTTAGATCTGGGAGCAAAGCCAACGGCGGAGCATGGGCAAATTTACGTACTCTGGATCCTGGGGCACTGGGAAACGAGGGCTGTGTCGACCGGCACCATCGTAATGCTGGTAGCCGGTAGACTGTGCGAGGCACTGGTCCCACATGGGGAGCGCCGTCTCGATGAGCTTCTCGACGGCGCTATAAATGCCGCGGTACTTCGTCGGGTGTAGGTTGTTGATGTAGCTGGTGAACCGCACGCCACCGTCGGCCGTGAATGTGACGTTCGCGGGGAGCCATTGGTATACGGTAGACCAAAAGGTCTTGTCAATCCCCCTACCGCCCCAGAACACTGGCGGCCATCTCTTTTCATCGGTCGGCTCGTCGCCCCATTCCGCCCGCCTCGGGATCACCTCCCCTTTCCCGGCGAACTTGTCGACCGCATCCTCAACACCCACGACCTCATCCGGAAGAAAGAGCGAGCGACCGTACACGAGCGGGTACATGGATGGGTGAACGAGGTCCTGCACCGTTTTGTTGGTATTGGGGTGCCAATCCGGGTTGGACGCCTGGTCGGCCTGCAATATGGCGAAGGACTCGCGTAGGGTGGATCGCAGCTCATCGGGCACTAGCTCATCCGATTTGGCGATACTGAAGGTAGCATCCAGAGTAGGCGTGATCCTTGTGCGCTTAAAGTGTTCGGCTTTGTGTCGTAGTTCCAGAATGCACTGCCGTAATAAAGCGAAGTGTCAGAAGCGGTGGAGGGGGCACCTGGCAGGGTCTACGTGTGCCCAATGCTAACAGCGACCGGGAAGGATTGTACTCACGTAGTCAACGCACTCCTTGTCCAAGATCGGGGTCGGTATGCGTAGGTCGTCCTCACCGTCCTCGTGACAATTGTTCAGGCGGTCCCACAGGTCCTCGTCCGGCCAGGCCAGGGCTTCGGTTTTCCACTTTTTAGCAATCTCGTCATCAAAAACCTTGGTGTGCCAGTTTGGTTTGTCGGTCAGACGGTCCATGACCAACAGCATGGCTGTCTCGCGCACCGGCATCAACGCCGAGTTGACTCCATAGTAGTTGAAATGGATGCCCATAGGATAATGGCCATGACTGTCTTTGTAATTCGTCAATCGTAGGTCTAGGTTCCAGCCTGGGTATTTGTTCATTTTAGCGATGGCTGCGTGGGTGGTGTCTGCGGTGACTGAGCTCGCTGCCATGGCGAAAGTGGATGTCTAGGTCGCGATGAAGGCGACGACGACACTGCCCTGAGAGCGTGAGTGATGCGGATAATTAGTGCTGGTCGCAGCGCAAGTCTGTAGGAAGACAGCACGCGGGCCGTATTTGACGTATTTAACGATATGTCGACTTGACCAACTTGAGCCCCTGTTGCAAGGTCCAATTCAAACAAAATGGAGTCAAAGTCCAAATGTGGCCATGCTGCCTGGTTCCTGCCTGTTCTTCTGCAAGCGGCCCCAGCAAAAGTTCCAGGCAGACTCGCGATCCACTTTTTATTCCATCAGTTCGGCCCCGTGTATTTGGCTTTTTGCCTGTGTCTGCTGAGAAGGGTCCGGAACTCGGAGCTCTGAGGACAGAAAACCGCACCCCCTGAACAACAACGAAGACCAGAGGCTGTTATTCTTAGGAGGGTTAAAACGTGTCTCTGGATTTGGGAGTTTCCTTTCAAGTTTCAATTTGGGCAAGTCACTGACTCAGCAGAGCTTGGGTCACGTGCCCAAAACGGCAGGTTCATTCTCACTCAACTTACCCAGAATGAAGTTCGGTCAAACCAAAAGGTTCACAAAACGTGTAATCTCCAGTACCAAGCAAGGGTCTCGATGGGAGGAGTCAGCCACGTGCATTTGATTGGATACGGTGACGCTCCAGGAGGGAAAGGATAGGCAGAGGCAAAATGAATGGCTCCCGTTTCGTGTTATTTTTAAACCTGATCACGTGGATAGCTGAACCGCCGACAGGACAGGCGGACGTCCATTGATGCTGCGCCAACATGAAGCTGTCGAGAAACTGGTCGACAACTCAACCTAAACCTACGCAAGTTGACCATGTCTCTCCGCAAAAGGTTCATGTCTTTCCAGAAATCTGGGCGGAAAAACCGGGCACTGACGCCTAGTACACCGAGTCCGGAGGAGCCCGACAAGACGGCAGTGACGGCACTGACCCCTAATATCACACCGGATTTGGTGGAGGACAGGAAGTCACTGGGGTTATTTGTTCTGGTAGAACCGCCGTCATGGACAGTTGAGTAAGTCAACAGCTCGTGAGGCCCAATGTTGAAGTTGGTTGTTGTTGCTCATCAATAGAGAACAGCGTGGTAGCTATCCATGGCCTAAACGGAGACTACCTGAAAAGCTGGACCCATCGCGTGTCTGGGGCCATGTGGCTAAAGGAGTTCCTCCCATCCTCCTTTCCAAACGCCAGAGTCATGAGCTTTGGCTGGGATTCCCGCATCACCGGGAACTCCTCAACGGCGACGTTGAAAGAGTGGGCCGACCAGCTTGCAGTTCAGCTCTCTTTAAGACGTCAGAGCGCTGAGGTAGGTGCAGACGTGGACTTCGTTGGTAGTTACCTAGGTAGTAACATACTAACTCATGACAACAGTCACGCGGAATCCCCATCATCATCATTGCCCATAACGTTGGTGGGCTCATGGCCAAGCGTGTTAGTCCCTAGTGCCCTAAATGATGCAAACGCAAGTTCCTGGTTCTGATATACCCGATGGCCTATGCTCGCTACAGATGCTTCTCAACGCCTCCTTAACCCCACGCCGGATCGATATATTCAATTCAGTTGCGGCTATAGTGTTCTTAGGGACCCCGCATCGCGGCTTTGGGTCACTTTCCACCTTTTTCGCGATCTCAACGATAGGATCGAGAAATAACACACTGCTGTCCGAACTGAAGGAATCACAGTCTCATCGCGATCTTGACGAGCAGTTTTACATGCTCCTTGACGGAACGCACTTGGATGTTTACAGCTTCTATGAGATGCAAAAGACGGGGCTTGTTCCTCAGCTCGTCTCAAAGGACGAGGCGTTTCTGGGCCACCCGAGGGAGCGACTATCTGGTCTTGCATCCAATCATTCGGGACTAGCCAAATTTGATTCCAGGGAAGACTGGGGTTACATACAGATCGTTGCAGCTATCGATGAGGCGATAGATCACTACGCTCGCCGAAGTGCGTCACCGTTGCGAGCGCCTTCCCAGGAGCCAAGCAGCGATCCCGCGCGTCTCGAAAGCTCAGGCCTATTGGGTGTCGGGCCGGACTTCCCACCGACGCTCAGGTATGCACATCAGGTGCAATCGAATCCTCGCCCGCAGCGGGGGGAACTGCCGTCTCCCATCAGGCGAGAGCCGGCTGCACGTTTTGTCTTTGATACTCTTGCTACATCAGAAGGAGTCGAAACTGGCAGGTCAGTTTCTTTTTTACATTGTTGACAGGATTGGAATGGTAAAAGAAAACTGAAACTGACTGAGTCTAGTGTCTTTGCGGAAGAATGGTTCGATAATCTCCGTGACAAGGTCCACCAAACTGTTGAAGAGAGACATAAGGACAGTGACCCGCGTGTTAAGGTTGCCATCCTCGACAGCGGCGTCGATCGATCCCATCCAATGCTGAAGGACTTCTTCGACAGAGGCCAAATCACGGCGAAGAGCTTTATTGAGGGGGAGCCTGGGACCAGGGACGTGTGCGGCCACGGGACACATATGGTCGACCTTATCCTTCGGACCGCACCGAATGCCCATGTCTGTATGGTAAAGGTGTTCTTGAGTGGACAGAGTACCGAGATGGATCGAAACCAGAACTTGATAGCCGAGGTTCGTGACCCTCTTGTCTGCTCGTGATGGATAAACTAACCTCTACTTTTAGGCCATCCGCCACGCGATGGATATAGAGCAGGCCGACATAATCTCCATGTCGTGGGGTTATCAAAAGGAGATTCCCATCATCACAAAAGCCATCAGAGAAGCGTTCCATCGAAACACGATAATCATCGCCTCGGCGTCCAACATGGGATCACTGTCTAAGGAGTCCGTTGCATTCCCCGCCAGCTTGAGGCAGGTCATCTGCATCAATTCGACCGACGGATACGGCAACCCGTCCGAATTCAACCCCGCGCCATCGCCGGACCGTGGCTTTGCTGTGATTGGAGAGGGATTACAAGTTGCTTGTCCGCTCAAGATTGGCGACATCTTGCGAGTCATACGGGGCACTTCTGCTGCGGCGGCTATCGCTTCCGGCCTTGCCACGTTAGTCCTTCAGTACTCGAGACAGCGGGCCAACGCCGGCAAGGCAGTCAAAGAACCGAGTCGGCTGAAGGACTGCGATGCTATGCGGAAGGTATTTTACGGAATGTCTAATCAGCGCCTCGGATACCATGTGCTAGTCCCGGATCTCATATTCCATGAAACCGGCGAGGAACGGCATTACCGTATTAGCCAGCGGATCTCTGCTATGTTGGATGCGTTGTAAAGAGAGACAGATTTCTTGGGGTGGCAGGGGAATTTAGGGCACGTTACAATTCTTTCCGGTGTCAAATGTTGCCACTTGATGGACTGTTACATTTTAGTACCTATAACGCTATGATTCAAGAGTCATTGAGTCCGCAAAATGTCCTCCCTTGCTAGGTAACTAAACCCTCCCTACGCCGACGATGCCTCTCCCGCAGGCGAGGTGGTCGACATGATCACATTACAGGGCTCGCCCGTAATTTCATCACTAGTTCCCACAAGAGTGAGACCTTCTCCATCATAACCCAGCTCATCCAACGAAAGGTCCTCCTCCGCAACTTCGTCATAAACGAATTGGAACGCCTCCGGGCCATCCTGCTTGGCTGACGCGTCACGCTGGCCACTGGGCTTATCCCCCTCACTCATAACCGCACCATCGGTAGCCGGCCTGTTCGTGATTTTTCGCCGTCCATAGCGGCACGTTCTCAGCTGAAAGGCATAGACAAACGGCTGCCGAGGCGTGAGTCTAAGGAAGTGCGATGATGCATCACCCGCCGAGGCATGACCTCTAGCCCCGGCGCTGCCCAACCCCTCGAGGACGCGGGCCTCTGCTTCGCCCCCAACGTATCCCTTCCTAGCATTCTCCACAGCGATAGTATCCGCTACGTCGCTGGATGGATGCGCGATACAAAGCCCCGTGATCATAAACGCGCGCTTCTGCCACACCCACCGTCTCAGCTTATCCTGAACCTTCGTTCGAAGCAAGCTGGCCTTGACGTAGCCGTCATCAGGCTGGATGAAGCGGACTTCGAGGCGCTCAATATGCGAGAGGATGCTCGCATGGTGCTGCGCCGACCAGGCCACGCCCGCCTTGACGGCGACGGCCTGGACGGCTTTTGCGAAGAGGCCTAGGTCCTTGGTCGACGACGAGGTGTAGCCGTGAGACACGACCGTCTGCTCGTTGATGTAGACTTCGATATGGTGCGGCAGGAAGGGCTCGGGCGTGTCCAGTGCGTTGGCGGGGTCGTCGACAGCCACGATCAGCTGTCCGAGTCTGAGCGGCCCATCCGGGGGGTTGTGGAACGTTGGGGGGATGAAATAGGTTGGTTTGGACATTGTGCGTTGATGAGAGCTTATTCAAACGCGGGATTGCTGCTCCTGAGATAAAAATGCGGTGATCAATAACGTGTCCATATGTCCGCAGACGAGGTCCGGGGGGGAAGAGTCGCTCAGCCGCTCAGCCAGCGCTGTGCTGAGACGCCGAGCCATAGATAAGACGGAGTACCTCGCGAGTGGTGTCGCAAATTAATCAACAGTGAGTGCCCCGTGGAACAGTGCCGCCCGGAACGCGGGCGCGTGGATGGGGCGCATTCCGAGCCAATCGCTTGAAGATCGACCGGAGGGGGTCTGCCAGGCTGGCTCTGTCAGAGCGCCTAAGCACCAATCAAAAGGAAGCCCCCACAGGCAGCCATGAACTCGCTACTGTACATCGTCACTCGTCCGGAGGGGCTCCGGGAGTCCCTCAGTTGTCAGTATAAGTTAAAAGCCAGTTCCTACTGGTGATCGAGACCATCGTTTGGCTGTGAACCTGTCGGAGGTGGTGGTAGTGGGGTATATCAGTATGTACACAGATCCGGCAGGTCCCCTAACCGGAACCGGTCTCCGTTTTGGGACCTCGGATAGAACCCGTTGGCTTGACCGGATCGACTCCAGCAGCCACGTTAGCTCCGGAAACCTCTCAGAACAGGCTGGGCCGCTCCGGTTCGTGACAGGAGGTAACGAAGCTAGGCAAAGATTCAGTGAAGCGAAAGGTTCTACAACACAATATCGTCTCGTTCAGTAGAGCTTGCAGCAGGCGCTGACTTGTATTGGCAACTGAGGGCTCCCACAGCCCGCCAGAACGAGTGACTATATAGTAAGGGCTGCCCTGGTACCTCCATCTGGGTGTAGAGGCGTAAGATAATGGTTTGTAGAACTCAGGAGAGCAAGGATACCTACTAACTCACATGACTTTTGGAAAGCCAACAGTCCGACGCTTGGGCCCTAGCCAACTCCTCCTCGGTCTGCCATCACTGTGTATTATCGTCGTTCAAGTCGTTACCTCAATGTGTCGTCACCATCGAGGTTAAGTCGTGCTCTCGGTCTGTCGTCACTATTTGCGCATTGTCCTCGACTCTGGCTCACGTACCCGTAACTTGAAGTTTTGCCACATGGCATTGACCTCCTCCCCAAGCTACACAAGTGAACCTCCCACTGCGTCCACTTTCTCCCGATTTTCCTTTTATCACCTTTGCACCAGAGACGTTTGGCCGCGGCCGCCCCGGCGGTCAAGATGATGACTGCTCCCACCACCGCCACGACGCGGCCACCTCGTTCCCTTCGCCCGCCCCCCGCCCGTCCTCCGTGTCCCAAGCGCTGTCGCCTGGGCCGAGTTCGCCGCCAGGGTGCGGAGCACGGCACCCCAGCCCGTCACGCGCGCGCTCCGTGGCATGTACCACGCGAGCCGGCGGGAGGGCATGCGGGTCCTCTCGCGCGGGTCGAACCCCGTCCGGGTCGAGGGGCCCAACCCCTACTACCCCGGCAGCGGGGTCTTTGGGGTGGTCCGCTTCGCCCTAGAGGAGCCCCGGCGCGCGCGCGTCTTCAAGGCGAGGCTCGGGTGCCGCGCCAGGTGCACCCGCGTGGACTCCACTCCAGGGACGGCACGTACAGCTGCCGCCACGCCCGTTTCGTGCTGTCGCGGATCCTGGGCGTCGGGGAGCAGCACTTTGCGCGCATGGGCTTCTCGCCCGCGGAGCTGGTGTCCTTTTTGAGGTGGCCCAGCGTGCGGGAGCCTTTTTTTTGGGCCAGATGTTTGGATAAAAGCCCGTTTCACGACTACCCTGGCTAGTCCTACCGACCGCGACAACGATTCCTTTGGAGAGAAGGACAGAAAGAAAAACAGAGGGAAGGAAAGGAGGGAGGGAAGGACGGAAAAGCTTGAATGGTATAATATTATAGTCTCTGCGTAGGTTGGGGATGAATGAATCTACCTTCCGATAACCCCACGAGACCAAAACGAGAAGCAACTCGTAAGTCAGTCTCAATCCTCCTTTCTCTGCCCATAAACGACATGGCTGCAAGTGTGTAAGCTCCTGATGGAAACGCAATCACAACCACAACCACAGTATTTCAGAAGGAGGAATACTCACTAGTCAAACTGTGCGTGCAATTTCGGGTCCTTGAGTTCGTTTCGCACCTCGGCAAGCAGCACGAAAACCTCCTCCTTGCTCCACCCCAACACGTCGCAAAATATTCGCAGCGAGAAGGCCTCGAGTCCGGTCATGATTTGCGAAATGTTGTACAAGCCAACCTGCTTCAGATGCGCGTCCTTTGGCCAGGGGCCGATGGGTAAGCGGAACTTTTGGTGCGTCACGTTGGTGAAGCCCGCGTCGCGCACCCATTCTTCGAGCTTAGGACCGGGGCATGCCTCGCGACCCATCTTGTCGGTGGCCTTAAGGAACGTGTTGATCCATGTCAGGGTGTTCGATTCGGGCTTGAGAGAGCCGTCTTCCGAGTAGTATTGCAGGTCAAAGTCCTGGAACTCGGCCCAAGCACCAGGGTTGAGGTTTCTATGATTATTCTGTCAGCGGCGGGTTCACCCGTGCTGGCGTGCAACTCTGAAAACTCCCGAGGATGAATTTGACGCACTCGTGGACCCTCTCCACAAGCTTGGGCCAGTCATTGATGGAACCGGTCATGTACCGGCAAAAGATGAAGTCAAAGGGCATCTCGTAAACCCACGGACATTCAACGTCGTCGATCTCGAATTTGACGTTAGGCGGCACCCATGGCGGCTGTATAGCACTCAGATCGTTTCCTAGAATCTGCTCGGCCTGTTAGCATCGCAGTACTGGGTCGCTCACCCGAGCCCTCGGGTTGCCTTGCCTGCGATACGTTGGGGTATTCGTCACCCATTGCCATGCTCCCTACAGCGACAGGCCGGTCAGCGTACTGTGCGCCAGTGCGACAAGCCAGAGTTGGGGCTCGTACATATTCCCGTGCCAGTGCCGATATCAAGCACACGTTGCATCTTGTCGGTGTCGACTGGAGCGAGGAACAGGTTGTCGCCGATCGCCTTGGTCATCATGGCATGAGCCAAATCGAGCCTATTCTGCTCGAGGTCGTCGTTTGGCATGTAATAAGCTGGCAACTGTTAGTCAGGCCTGGCTGTTACCCGGTGCAGTCGTGATAGCGGAAGTGAGTGCCTACCCCCCGCCCGAAAGGCATGGTACCGGCGCCCGTTCTCGACCGGGTAGTTGAGGATGCTGGATGTGATGGAGGCCGTGAAGGCCGAGCTGGCGCACTGTCAGTATATCAATATAAAATACCGGCCGTGGAGACTTACAGCTCGTCCCCAAGAACTGAGTCGTTGTCGCCCGCTTGCTGTAAAGGACCGAAACCGAGCAGGTTAGCACCCGAATTTATTTTCCCATCATCTCCACACGAAGTCAACGCAGGGTGGAATTTACCCCCTCGTCAATTTCGATGTGTGCCTCTGGTGACTGACACATGGCGCAATCTGTCTGAATACAAACTCGGAGTTGGTTGTTTGGAGGACAGGTATGTACCGGTCTCAGTCTCAGGGAGGAACTTGGCTTCAAGTTTCGTTTCCAGAAGAGGGACCCAGTCAGCAAGGAAGAAGAGGGACCACGGTTCGACCCGGTGAACCGAAAAACATGTGGCATTGAACTGCAACAGTGAAGCGGGGAGGAGCGGCACCTTAAATTTAGGTCATTCGCCGAATCGCCCAATTGTGGTAGGCCAGCTCGCAAGGCAGGGCCATTTTTCTCGACACCGACTGGACGGGGACGGGATAAAAGACGTGTGACTTGGCTGCGACAGCAGCATGGGCGCCCGGCGGGAAGCCAGGTTTGTGGTTGGTGCTCTTTTCCAGGTGGGTTCAGGAGCGAAAAAGTCCCTCTGCAGCCGTCGTTCCTTCCTCCCGCTGCCCGCATGTTGGCACACGAAGGCCCGAAGCCGGGCGACGCGGAAGACGAAACTGCATCCGTTGCAGGCAGTTGGCCCAAGCTAGCGGTTTGACTAAACCCGTTCGGCGAGGTCATGCCCACCAAGTTCGAGGATTAAGTGCCGGGGTTCGATAAAGGCTTCATCAGGATTTTGTGTCTCACCCGAGTCGCGAATTGCAGCCCGTAGCCCGCTTGCCGAAGCGAGAATCCGGAGTTCGGAAATGTCGTGCCCTGCGGCTCTCAACGTGGCCGACAGGTTGCAGCATGAACTGTTGCGGGTGGGGAATCATACTGTGAGCCGAACGAGAGGGGGAGTGCCGCGGAGTTGAAGATGAGAAACGCAGCCGAGGGTTGGGATGTGAACTGGAACAAAGCGCCCATTTCGAATGCGCATACACGACCGTAAATCTTGCAGCGACTTCGTTTAATTCTGGCCATCCCATTTACGAAGTAATTCCATTTTGATACACCAGTCCAACGCAGTCACTCAGTTCAACAAATGACTCGGCTAAACCCTCGCCCTAAGTATACATATAGCCCTAACCCCATCCCTCTCCCTATCCCCTATCCCTATCCCAAACCCTCGCTAACGCCTATTACAGATTACAAGCGCACCTAACTGGGTTGAACTTTACTACAATGCCCGACCATGTTAAACTGGCTGTTATTACCTTTATTAAAGTGGCTTCAATTAATTCCATTTCAACTCAGTACAATGGCTGTCACGGCTTAAGGCATATCGGTGCTCAGAATTGTCCGCCACCTTGGGGGAATTGGGTAAACTTTGGGGGGCGTGTGTCAACCCTCTGTGGGGGTCTTTTCCCAGTCACCCATCAAGCCGACCCATTGACCGTTGGTCCGGCAGGCACGGCCCGCGGAACGGCAGTGGAAACCCCGCCGTGGTATTATGTGGGGAATCGCCAATCATCCGTGGTGTGCCCCCCGTGCCCCCGTGCCGCTCGGTTCATTTGGCCAGTGCCGGCGACTTGAAGCCCTATGAAGGACAGGAGAAAGGGACGTATAAGAGAGGGTGGGGGCGCCTGGAACGAACACCCAACACCGGAAACACCAACCTATCAAAACTCTAGGATGACATGCTTCGAAAGAAGCCGTCCTCGCCTATGTTCACAGCTGAACCAGTCGATATGGAATTTGATCCAGGTCTTGCAAATTGGGTTGGGGTAAGGTACCTACCTATCATAAACAGTCTTCCGATTCTTACCGACTTCATCTTTGCGATGAGTCTAGAAGGTATGTACCTAGGTAGGCAGGCACCTTGGGAGAGGGGGTTGGTAAGGCAATGGCGTCGAGCACCTACTTCGTCAAGCCCGCCGTCCACGGCCCCTTTTCCGGTATCAAAACTTACCCTTGTCACCACCGAAATGAGAACATCATTCATCTTCACCTTTTGGCCCTGTCTACCAGAGACCGCCGTGTGAGCAGACAAGCTCGAGCCCAACTCTCCGCTCGACGCTGTTAACCCTCGATTTAAAACCCGATGCTCGTTAAAGCCGACCTAAGCATGGCCAGATATTCGCTCATGAGTCCAGGTGTCTGTTTCCATTAGGTACCGACGTAGGCCAAGCGGATGCATGTCCCGAGAGTTACAAACACAGTGCAGACCACTGAATCAACACGAAGCTCTCCCTGCGGAGCAGGAGGAGGTTGGGGACTCTGGGGCTCTGGCAAGAGGGAGGTTCTGAACATCAATGTGGTTAAACACACTGCTTCTTCCCGCGAGGCTTCTGCTCTGAGACGTTCAAAAACATGATGAACTGGCTTCGGTGACGGGATGGGCATCCAGGGCTGCGGTCTTGGGATCATGCTAAGAATTCGGGTGACATTTTACCCGTCGCTCAACATCATGCAGGAGCCTCGCCCGTGGCCAATTTGTTATCGAGTCTTGAGAAAGGAGAAATCGGCGGGGGGTGAAATAACGTGATCTGGTGCGAGCTCCCACCGGCCATCTTCTTTGCTTGGGACCAGCCATTGGTGTCCTCAATTTTGTCAGCATCCATGCGAAAACTGAAAAGGCTGAGTGAGACGGCCGCAATCGAACTTGGCGGGCGACGTGGCGGCTCCGAGTGGTGGAGTGAGGTGTGACCGGCCCGGGTCCGGGAGGACACCACAGGTGCAGAACCGATGCCGCGAGTGGACCGTGAGCGGCGCAGCTGCCTAGAGTGCCAGGCTCTGGCCGTTGGGGTGCAGAAGACGATCTCGCTGGGGGAACTTCATGGAGGCCTGTCTGGAGTTCTGTTGATCGCTTATCGCCTCTTGGTCTGTTTGGCGGTCCCCCGCCATTGACTCAGCCCATTGACCCCGCAAACATTGCGCCGGATGACTGACAATTTTCTCCTCCCGATCTGCCCTGCCGGCCAGCGAATCTGGCCAGCAGCCAGCCTCCCAGCACAGCCGAACGCCACTCATGGAGTGAGGACGCCAGAACGAGGCCGTTGCCGGGACCCTCGGGCTCTCACCTTCTGTGCAGTAGCGCGAGGCAACCGCTGCATGGAAGGATTACTCTGCCCCCCAGCGAGCCAAACAGCAGTCTTGCAGCGGAGCCAATGAGGCCAGTGAGTCACGAGCCGAGTTGTGGAGATTACGTCTTTCAGCTTGCCCCAGGCCCCAGCGATGCTTGTCCTGGTCTGTGCCTGGCGGCCCCCGGCCTCCGGCAACCACACCAGGCTTGGAATTCGGCGGACTGCTGCTTTTCCCATAAAAGATTGGCTCCCAGCCTCCCCAAAGCCGTTCTTGACAAAAGACAGCCTTCTCAAACGCAATTGTGCGGTTTACTCACTTCCCAGAGCGACCTTTGCAAGTTCCGACAATGCCTCGTTGCTGGCCCTCGTTTAGCTCCCGCTCCAAAAAGGATGCGGGGGGCCCCACCGGAAAGTCGGGGAAGCTGCCAGACGGCGGGTCCAGTGCCTCCACCCTTGACAGCGACGCCAAGGGAAAGAGCGACGAGAAGAACGACGAAAAGAAGGACACAAAGTCAAAAGACGACAAGAAGGACGAAAAGACAGACGACAAGACAGATAAGACAGACGAGAAGAAGGAGGGCGATGACGAGGCCAAAGACAGCGAAGAGAAAGATAAGCCCAAGGTCGTTGTCGGGTCAGTGGGCGAGGCCAAAAACATTTACAAGGGTGCTTCCGACGACGATGGGAACTGGACTTGGGTCGACAAGTATCCCGATGATGTCGAAGAGGCTGCCGAGAACGAGGAGACGGCCAAGTTCGCCGTCGTTGTGCGGAACCAGAAGAGTAACGACAGCCGGAAGAAGCTCGAAGCCCACAGCATTATCGTGCAGAGCCCACTGATTAGGGCCGCGCTCGCCGAGATCATGGCCGACTATCCCGGTGTTGCTTGCGAGTTGCTCCGCCTCGAATTTGAGGCCCCTTTCAAGCCCTTTGTGCACCGATGGTATGGCCTCCTCCCTTCCCAACCCCAAAGACCCTCCACCACTCGCTTGCACCGAGGCTGACCTGTCAACAGGACCGAGTTCCAAAAGTACCTTGAAAAGCCTGACCTCGACGAAAAGACCAAGGAGCACATGAAGGTGCTTGCTGACATTCTGCAATACGAGATCGGCGATAACATCAAGACGTTCCAAGACTACGCCAAAAACGGTGTCGTGTGCTTCAAGGACCTGTGGATGATCTTCCAGCCGGGCACTGTCGTCGTTTCGGCTCATAAGGGTCCGCTCAGCGCCTTTGAGATGGTTGAGACGGAGTACATGCAGAACAACTGCGGCAAGTTCTTGCAAGTGCGCTGCGACTGTGTCGACTACGGCGGTAAGGAGTTCGGCCGGTACCAGGAGGGGATCAACATCCCCGAGTTCATCGGCACCAAGAAGATCACGGGCCTCAAGGTGTACCCCCTCCACTTCCACACCGACAAAGACGAGGTTGTCACCAAGCTCACCGAGCGCGGCGCGCTGTTTGAGAAGCTTGCTGGACACCACTACAAGCAGTATGCCGGCAAGGCCATCACGTGGGACCGCGAGGGCAATGAGGTGGAATGCCAGATCACGGGCCGCATCATCGTCGATATTGACAGTTTCAACCGCTTCAGCCCCTGGCGCGTGCGCTACCTGAACGACTTCAACGCGAACGACCTCGACAAATTTACGAAGCACAAGGAGAAGATCGGTGTTTCGGACGACAAGTTCATTCTACCGCCCTACTACCAAATGCTCGCTCGCTGCAGGACACGCGGTTACTCGCTCAAGTTCAAGAAGTGGCTCGACTTCTTCGTCGAGCAGATCACCGAAGTGGTCTGGAACAGCACAGCATTCGACAAGCTGGTGTTGCCACCGGACCAGAAGGAGCTCATCCTGTCGTTCTCCGAGTCGCAAATCGCCGGTAGCAACTTCGACGACATCATCCAGGGCAAGGGCAAGGGCATCATCTGCCTCCTATCCGGCCCGCCTGGTGTGGGGAAGACGCTGACGGCCGAGGCCGTGGCCGAGAATCTCAAGGTGCCGCTCCACATGCTGAGTTCGGGCGATCTCGGCTCGGATCCGTGGGAGGTCGAGCGGGAGCTCAACTCAATCCTGGAGCTGGTGGCGCGGTGGAACGCCATCCTGCTGCTAGACGAGTGTGATGTGTTCCTGGAGGCGCGCAGCACGCACGAGCTAGAGCGCAACAAGATCGTGTCCATCTTCCTCCGCACGCTCGAGTACTACGAGGGCATCATGTTCATGACCACCAACCGGGTCGACGACATCGACGCCGCGTTCCAGTCCCGTATCCACGTCAGCATCGAGTACCCCGACCTGACGTCCGCTTCCCGCCGCACCATTTGGGCCAACTTCCTCCGGGGTTCGACCATCAAGAGCTCGCTCACCGACAAGGACATCAACGAGCTTGCCGAGCTCAAGCTCAACGGCCGGCAGATCAAGAACGTGCTCAAGACGGCGCAGCTGCTGGCGGCTCGGAAGAAGAGCGAGACCCTGGACCGCAAGTTCATCGAGACGATCCTGATCATCGAGAAGAAGCGGCCCGGGGCGCCGCAGCAGATGATGCATTACCTCTGAGCGATGAGGATGGAGAGGCCGTTGGGTCCGTTGGATCACGAATCACGACGGAAGGTACACTCTTGGGGGTCTTGTAAATTCGTAATTGGGACATCGTTTGTATGTACATATACCATATATCCAGCGGCGTTGGAAAGGGGCGTCATTTATAGCTCTATTTATCTACTCATACTCTATCACCAGCTCATTGAAACTCTCTCCCTCTTGCCCTCACCCGCAGTGACCCCCTTCTCCCTCCTTCATTTCCCAACATCACCAATCCACATTCCACTGTCTAGCCCCCATCTCACACAATATCCTTCGGCGGCAAGGTGACATCATCCTTCCCAGCATCCTCAATCTCCTTCAAAAACCTCTCCCCGGCCTCCTTATCCCCCTGGAACATGGTATCCGCCACCATCCGGCGCGGGGTCTCCCCCAGCCACTGAAACAGCGAGAAGTCACGAAACTCGTCGGCGCGGAAGACCTCGAGCATCTCGATGGGCTCGTCCCCGACGTTCTCGACAAAGTGGCCCATGTTGCGCGGCACGATGCCGACGTCGCCGGCCTGGTAGTCGAAGGTGCGCGCCGTGCCCTCGGCCCCGAACACCGTCACGCGCGCCCGCCCGCCTAAAAAGAAGGACCACTCGTCCGCGTTGGGGTGCCAGTGCATCTCCCGCAGCGCGCCCGGCTGGATGATGACGTGCGCGGCCGCGACGGTGGTGGAGATGGGGAAGTTGCGGCTATCCGTGATGCGTACTTGCCCGCCGGTGGTGTTTTTGGGTTCCTGCGCCAGCATGCGGTGCGTGAACTGCTGCGTGGACTTTTTCACGTATTTTCCCTTGGGGAACTCGTCCTCGACGGAGCCGGGCTCGGAGCCCTGGAAGATGTACTTCTCGGACGCGGGGAGGTGGGCGAAGACCTCCGGGGGCAGGTGGAAGTTCTTGGAGATGACGGAGCGCGGCGTGTGGGCGAGCCAGTCGGTCAGCACGAAGGTCGACTCCTCGGAGAACTCGCCCGAGTCGAAGATCAGCAGGAACTCGGTGCCGTTCGGGCTGAGGCCCTGCAGCGAGTGCGGCACCCCCGAGGGGAAGTACCACAGGTCGCCCTTCGATATGTCGTCCACGTACGTGCCCCCCTCGTAGTCCAGCGCCGTCACCCGCACGCTGCCGTCCAGCACGTACGCCCACTCGGCCTCCTTGTGCCAGTGCAGCTCGCGGATCACGCCTTCTCCGAGCCGCATGTTGACCGCCGCGAGCTCAACGCTCGTCGGCAGCTCGCGGACCGTGGTTTGCCGGGTCCAGCCGCCTTCCTGGAATTGGCAAGAGGGTCAGTTAAGGGGCTCGGGAAAAAGGGGGTGTGGGGGTGTGACAAACCTCGATTCTGATGTGTGAGTCGGCAAAACTCCATCTCAGGTTCGGCATGTCGCCGTGGTCCGTCGAAGGCGGCCGCACGATATCAGAGTTCTGGCGCGAACGCTCGCGATTCCATGGCCCCAAGACCGAGGCACCGTCTCCATTGCGCCAGGGCAAGGGGTCGAGCCCCTCACCAATGGCATCGATGGCCTTGTCGTAGGGATCTCGGTATTCGGGGGTGTAAGGAGCAGGAGTGCTCTTCCGATACTTGGCCGGCAACGGCTTGCCGTCCAGCAGCCGTTGTCGGGGGCTGTCCTGGATGGGAACCGCAGCTGCGAGGTCCCTGAGGCCCACGGCTAGGAGGAGGGCGGTGCTCGATAGACGCATTGTGTCTCGCACTTTACTCGGGCACGAGTGGCTATTGATGAGGGCTCAAGGAGATGTGTGAGGATAGATCAAGAGGAGTCTGTTGCGTGGTTTTCAGTGTTGAAATAAGGGGCTGATCACTTGTAGATATATGATGTCGTTGACTATTGCACCATAGCTCCCTTCACGGCTCTCGGCCCCTTACGGACCTTACGGATTTTACTTCACCTCAACTAAAACAACATCTTGATCCTACACTCAGGGGTTCTAGGTACATACCGTGATATGTCCGGTGTAACGGCAGCGTCCATAGTCCCGACCGATATCCGAACCCCCGATACTCATGCACGGGTTCTACAATCCCCTGTATATCTCGGAGTACGGCAACAATTGCTGAGTGAGCATGCACACATTGGACCTACGATAGGAAGGTCGGACGACAGTTGTTGCCGTACCCCTAACATGACATCATCTGTCGACCCTCGGATTGGGTTAGTCGGCGCGGGACTCGGCTTCTCCACCGCCGAGCATTGCCCAAGCATTGCCCAGCGTTGCCCAGCCGCCCACAGCGGGTTTCGGCACCGATAGCCGCTGGCGCCGGGACCCCAAAGGATCTGACTTTGACATCTCGAAGCGGCAACACACACCTCTTCATGTTATTGGTATGAATAGGTCACACAAGCCACACCAAATTTCAATATTTCAGACAACAACACCATGATGAACAGTAACGGGTCAGCCGGGGAAGACACACCTCTCCTATCTTCCACACCCAATCGCAAACCTCACCGTCTCGGGTCACGATGGCATCAGCATTTGGCAGCCAAAGTCTCGCGGAATTGGGCTGACTGCGTCTTGATCCTGTGTTATCTCATCACGGGTTTACTTGATAGCGCGTCCATCTCAGTATGGGGCTCTTTCGTGTCGATGCAAACGGGTTAGTACTCCCCTTGATGAACGTCCCATGCTTACCCCTAACTACCCCTACGTATTACCAACCATTGCATCATCCCCTAACCCATCTGCCCCCGTTCCAGGCAACACCGTCTACCTCGGGCTCGGCCTCGCAGAACCGGACGCCTCAACGCGTTGGATCAAGTCAGGCGTGTCACTACTAGCCTTTTGTGTCGGTTCATTCCTCTTCAGCCGCTTCCACCGGCGCTTCTCACCAAAACGGCGCTGGGTGTTGGCGGCATCGTTTACCGCGCAGGCGGCCCTAACCACCATTGCCGCAGGGCTGGTCACGTCGGCCGGCCCGCCCACCAACCCGCAGGACGTCGGCTGGCCGGTGCTCGTGCCCATCGCCCTGGTCGCCTTCCAGAGCTGCGGCCAGGCCGTCGTCAGCCGCGCCCTCGACTACAACACGCTCACCAGCGTGGTGCTGACCAGTATCTACTGTGATCTGTTCTCCGATGCCGAATTGTTCAAGTTGAGGAATGTGGAGCGGAACCGCAGGACTGGCGCGCCGCTTTGCTTGTTGCTTGGCGCGTTTGTTGGGGGGCAGTTTGCTGATAGCTCGTGGGGAGTTGCTGGCGCGTTGTGGGCTGCGTCGATCCTGAAGGCTGGAGTCGTGGTGGTGTGGTTGCTCTGGCCGGCTGAAGAGAGTGGGGAGGAGAGCTGAGATCAAGGCGTAAGGTAATGAATGGTTCACAAGAATTGGGGCATGCTGATCACCCGTCCAACAATACTCCAACCAGCACCCGCCTCCCCGAGCCCAGTACCACGAATCCAACATACTCCTCTCAACAAGCATTGTATGTACTCCCATTAGCCAAACCAAGCATTTAGCCTCTTACCCGCGTCATCAGCTCTTCGAGGTCTTCAACCGCTTTCCAGCATCCGATGAGATAGCCCTGTCTGTCCCCATGATCGAACATAACTGCCGAAACGCAAGACAAATACGGTGATTTAGACCCCGTGAAGCGGCTCTATGACAGACGGCCAACGGATAATAGGGGAGCTGTAACCAGGTCCGCGGAAGAATTATGCCAAAGCCCTGATTGGGGCGCTTCACAAACCTGGACCTGGAGACCAATAAGGCTTGAGTTATGCACCCCGCTCTGGCAAGGTGACATTCGCATGTGGCAGCTCTTCCTTGACCCAGACCAAGCCCCGGAGTCTTTTTTTGGCTCGGCTCCGCGTTGCCCTCGAGGTTTTCCCCGATGCAGCCCGGCGGACTAGTCAACATAGCTCCATTTGGAAATGGTGTTGGTAGCCAAGAAGGACAAGATGAATCCCGGGTTAAATGAACGGGAGATGGGCGGATGCTTGAACGTGTTTATAGGCCCCCTTGTGAATAATGTTAGCGTATAAAGGGAGATGGACTTCCTTTCGTTCTGCCCGGTCCCCCGCGAACATCATCCGTTTCGTATCAAGCAAACATGATCTCCGTCTCTACCCTCGCTCTTGGCCTTCTGGCCGCCGCCCAGGCTGTTGAGTCTGCCTCGGCCGGTTGTGGCAAGGCGCCCCCGTCGTCGGGCACCAAGTCCATCAACGTCAACGGCAGGCAACGCCAATACATCCTCCAGCTGCCCAACAACTACGACTCCAGCAAAGAGCATCGGGTTGTCTTCGGCTACCACTGGCGTGATGGGTCCATGAACGACGTTGCCAGCGGCGGCTTCTACGGCCTGCGGTCCTTGGCAGGCGACAGCACCATCTTCGTCGCCCCTAACGGCCTGAACGCCGGGTGGGCCAACAGCGGCGGTGAAGACATTACCTTCACGGACCAGCTCGTGGCCATGGTGAAGAACGATCTCTGTGCCAACGAGAACGAGTTCTTCGCCACCGGCTGGAGCTACGGCGGAGCCATGAGCCACAGCGTGGCCTGCTCTCGGCCTGGTAGGCCTACTAACGTACACCCCAATCCCTAAACCAGCCTGCTGACCTTATACACAGACGTCTTCAGCGCCGTGTCCGTCATCGCCGGCGCCCAGCTCTCGGGCTGCGCGGGCGGCGGCACCCCGGTCCCCTACCTGGGGATCCACGGCGCGGCCGACAACGTGCTGCCCATCTCGATGGGCCGCCAGCTGCGGGACAAGTGGTTGCAGACCAACGGGTGCGCCTCCAAGAACGCGCCCGACCCGGGCGCCGGCCAGCAGAACCACATCAAGACCACCTACAGCTGCTCCAACGCGCCCGTGACCTGGATCGGCCACGGCGGCGGCCACGTGCCCGACCCGTCCGGCACCAACGGCGTCAAGTTCGCCCCCGGCGAGACCTGGGACTTCTTCAACGCCGCCGTCTCCTCCGGCGGCGGCGGCAACCCCAACCCCACCGACCCCGGCACCCCGACCACGAACCCGGGCACCCAGCCGACCAACAACCCGGGCACGAACTGCTCCCCCAAATGGGCCCAGTGTGGTGGTGATGGGTGGTCTGGCGCCACCTGCTGCGAGAGCGGGAGCACTTGCCGCGCTTCGAACCAGTGGTACTCGCAGTGCATCTAAGGAAGTGGTGGTTAGGAAGTGGTTGGAGGTTTCGTGTGCATAGTTGCCCTTTTCGTTGCGTATGATGACATGTTCATACCCTCGAGTACATAGTTTGTTGTAGCTTTGCGAAGTATATCGACGCCGATACAACATCATGACCAGTGGTTGTTGCTCCACATATGATGTTGCTTCCCAGTCACCGATGTCCCTTTGGAGTGGCCGTCTCGTCATGGCCAATACCTGGCAGCGCAGCCGATAACCAAACGGCCGGGTTCAATATAGCAAGAGCACAGCTCAAGCCGATGTGATATGTTCTAGCCGTCGCCCCAACTACCCCCTTTCTAACTAGATACAAGTACAAATCAACCCCCTTTGCCCCTCTCCCCCGATCTATCTGTTTGATTCCCGCCCAAACATCAGTCCTCCCCCCTCAGACCCGACGGATGCACCACTGGTTCAGGCCCATCCGTCGGCCATCAGCCACTCAGTAGTTGGAGCAGCAGATGGTGTCGCCCTTGCGGCTGCTCGAGTGGTAGTAGAATTCGAGGCTGAGCTGGTTCCAGCAGGCGGTGCGCAGGGAGGTCTTGGGCCACGTCTGGGGGCCGCCGGGGATGTTGATGGTGAAGGTGGTCTTGCCCCGCACCGTCTTCTTGTCGTAGTTGAGGATGCCGGCGCCCTGGAGCGACTGGTCGACGAGGTCCCGGCACAGGCTGCAGGCTCCAATCTTGACGCCCATTTTGATGGTGGGGGTTGGTGGTTTTGGTGGTGAGTTTGTTAGGTGGAAGGGTAAGAATGGTTCGTGTGCTCGGTGGATGCGGACGTTTGTTGGTTGCTTGAGTGGTTGTTGTGGTGGTGGGTTGTGGTTGTTAAAGGAAAGGGATGGATGGGAAAAGGTTGGTGCACTCTAATATAGGGATTGTAACTCGAACTGCCAAGTAGCGGATATGTAACAATGGTCTCAATGCTTTAGGTACTTCTTCGAGCCATTATTAATGGCCATGTTTTGTTAGAGAGTGCAACCACCTACCTAATTTTCCACCATCAAAAAGGAGCATGAAAGGGAGAAACCAAGCCAACTGCTCCGAACAGACATGATATCAGCCCGCGCCGCTTCCTGCTACGGTGCTAGCCGTCCACATCGGTGAACGCTTTTGGAGAATTTGACCTTGGCTTTCCGGCCCAGCTAAGACATTGGAGGCTTCCCTACTCCATGAACTGCTTGCCTGGGGGGACAAGAGTTAAAGTCGGAACTCGGCAGCCGTCATCGACATCCATGGACTCGGAGAGCCTATCATGATGTCTCTCTCGGGCGACCATCTCTTGATGTCTCCAGTCCCTGCCTGGAGTCCCTCGGCCCGGTTGGCCCAATGCCTCCCCACCAGGCTCCGGCGTCGAGTGTGGAGAGACCCGCAGAGCGAGGTGTTGTTGCGCCATCATTCTGAAACAGGGATCTCACGCTCCCATGAGTACATACCCCACGGGAACCCCATCAGAAACCCCACTGGCCGTGAGCACCCTTAAAGTAGCATTCTCGGGAAACCAGGGGCGGCCCGTGAATCCCGTCCTTGTTCAACGCCATGTGTCCAGGGCGTGAAACCTGCTTCACTTCTATTTCTATCATCGCGACGGCTGATATTTCCGCGGGCCATCATTGTCAAGTTTCGATGAAGTAAAAGGGCACCAACAGGGTTACAATCTCTGCGTGCGGCGTAGCTACGAGCTAGCATCCATCCGCTTGTAGTCTCGGCGGATTCGACATCTCGCCTCAGTAGGCGAAGGGGCCCACGTCCAATGTAATTACTAATTATGTAGGTGCTGGCCATGGAGACAGGCTGGTGAGCTCCAAATTCCAAACCAGAGATCCCCCTTTATGGCACATGCTGGCCATTTGCAACCCCACGAAACCGAGGGAATTCAAAGTTTGGGGAATAATTAGTTAAAACTCTTTCTCCACAATCCGTGCCGCATACTAGTCGAGTAACGTTCCAAAAGAAAGAACAGGGTCGGCTGCCTACAGGGAGTGGGCTGGCTTGTTCTGGTCTGATTGTTACCATGATGAAACCGAGGCCGCTCGACGCATTGCTTGCTACACTCCGCCGTACAACAAAAATACTCATAAGTACGAGGAGACCGCGGCATCAGCTCGTATGCACACATCATTCCCGCCTAACCGCAGCCAAGCCAGGCCATCTGGCCCAACTGTTCTGAAATGAAACCTTGCAGTATTGACGAACCATGGCGCATTAAACCGCGCCTGTCTTTATATCCCTTCTCGGTACGAGGTATGGCCCCCCTGGCTCCCTATTTTGGTGGTGTGTTTCTGAGTCCAGGATACCGGTCTAGCAAGTAAACAGGCACTGGCTGAACTAAGCACACTTTCAGTAATAGATCAAACATCCCAAGATAGAATAAGGAGCTTACCGTTCAGGTTGAGGAATCAGTGCGCTCTCCATCATGATCAAATGTTCCGTCATCCCCCCCGTAAGTTTTTTGAAAACCGCCTTAGAAAGTCGTCTGTAGCTTAGGATAATCACCCGCATCCGCCTGCAAATCCGCAAAGATGCGACCCGAGTCGTCTTTACTGAGCCCCTTCATCCTCTCCGTGTCTTCCTCTTCCAGCTCTTCCATCTCCTCGGCAGGCTCCACCTTGCCCTCCTTCTCGTCTTCTTCCTGCGGCGCCAGCGCCTTCTCAGTTCCCGAAGACTCACCCACCAGCAGGAACTGTGCGTTCGCGTAATCCAAATGCTTCGGCTGAGTCGGGACCCATCGCAGCGACCGAAACTCCTCGAGCAGTCTAGGTATCAACCCCGTCAGCAGGCCCGTCAAACCAACCACACACACACACACAAACAAACAAAACACTCACTCCTTCGGAAACTTCGGCGCCTCCGGCAACCTCGCACTCGCCGGGCCCGGAAACTCCGAATTCTTGGTACTAATCACCCAGCTGCCCCTCTCCTTCAGGCCCATCTGCCGCTGCACGTCCCCCAGCTCTTCCGGCAGCGTCAACATATACGCCAGGTGGCTCGCGCGGCCCGTGCTGGTCAGCGCGTACACGCCCTCGGCGAGCGGCGCGGCGGGCGGCGCGTGGCGGGTGCCGGCCGTCTTGGTCTCGTAGGTCGACTCGGCGAGGAAGGCGTCGCGGAGCTGGGACAGCGGGGCGCCGGCTTTCTCGACGAAGCCCACCCAGCGGTCGCGGCCGGTTTGGGGGAGGGTCTTCTTGGGGATCACGCACACGCGCGTGTTGGTGGTGGTGTTGGGGTCGCTGTCGTTGGTGGTGATGTCGAGCTTGGCGCCGTGCGGGATCGGCCGGAGCACGATGTGGCTGCGCGCGATGTCGCTGACCGAGGAGGGGCTGTCGATGTTGACGCGCGGGCGGAAGAAGAAGTAGATGATGCCTTTTTCGAGGATGCTGGCGGGGGTTTCGTCGTCGGGGGGTTGGGTGGGCTTGTTGGTTGATGCCTTGGTGTCTTTGCCGCCGTTTTGCTGCTCCGGTTCGTGCGTCTCGTCGCCCTTTGTTTCACCGCTGTTGTCAACGGGTTAGCCAATGAATGATAACCGAGAAACGCTAGGTAAGCAAGGTACTGTATCTTACCCCTTGGTAGCCGTCTGTTGTGTGTTCTTGTCTTGCCCATCCCCGTCCTCCTCCTTCTTGGTCCGTTTGGGGCTAGGGGGTGCTGCGGTTTCCTCCGTCTTGTGCTTTGAGCCCGGCTGGGCTTCTTCAGGAGGAGCTGCACTTGGCGACTTCTCTTGTTTCTTCGCCGCGGATCTCGTTGTTGTCGTCATGCTGGTTGCATGGATGTTGGATGTGGTCTAGTTGTCTGCTAGTTGATGGTATTTTTTAAATTTGAAAGTGATAGCGCGGTTCTAGAATAGAGCTACCCCGGATCCTCCATTATGTTATGCTCTCCGGTGGCCGTGATGTCATAGAAAACCAACAATATTGCCCCGATATCCTGATCCATGCCCGCATTGTCCTCGATTCAATGACGTTCGACGCTGTCTCGGATTGCCGCAAGCTGATTTGTCTGTCATCCGAGGACGCAGTCTTGTCCAACTGAAACCAGAATCCACTTCACTAATGCACCTACCCGTCCGCAATGCATCCTGTGCATTTTCGATTCGGGAACTAGACCCGAGGGGTCAACTTGTGCTTCTTGACATCTTGGATCAGCCATGAAAGAAGTGCTGGAGGTGGTTTCGGACTTTAACCCTTCACAAACCAACCTGAGGCATGGCAAGGACTCGGAGATATTCGGTAAAGGAAATAATATGGCAGCTTAACATTTCGGAGTGATCCTAACCTCGCACCGACTTCGGTTTTCTAATGGCTTGACTAACCCCCTGCCCATCCCCGTTCCCTGCCCTGAAAATGCGATCCGTTACTCTACCGTATGCAAGGACACACGTATTATATACACCCTGGTTATCGATGCTCTCGCCTGATCTTGTTTTCGAAGCCGAGAAAATGCTTCTCCCCAACGTTCAAAGCCATCATCAAGCTCCGAAACTCCCTTCCGCGACGATCACCCAACCCCTCCAGAGCTCGTCCTTCTTCTGACACCGCTTGCAACAACAGGCTGAGAGCGGCAGCGAAGCGGCAGTCGGAGCGTACTACCGCGGTTTCTGCAATGGTTCCGCAAATGGCGAGCCACCCCATGATGAGACCAACGTCGACTGAACCATCCATCATCCGGAATTCCATTGTGCGAGGATTTCGTCTCGCCCGTTCGTCTTCTTCTCCAAATGCGCTGAAATTGAATCCCAGTCGCCTGTACATCTTCTCGGGGCCAGAGAGTAGCCGGCCGAGCTCCAGGTGAGAAGCCGTCTTCGATATCTCTACGAATGCGGCAACCTCTTTGGTCGGGGTTTCCGGCCGTCTCTGAAGGGCGGCGTTGATTTGTCGATCCGAGATGGCTTCGGGTTCCGCGGCCTCCGGGACACTATCCTCGAGTTGGTTTGCCAGCCGACTGCGCTGTCGCATGGCGAATCCCCAGGTGAACGTGTTGTCAAAGTTCGGGGAAGCTGGATCCCTGATGCTCCGTAGGGTCGGTTCGGCCACCCACAAGAAGGAACCGAGTCTCTGCAGCGTCGATAGAGACCAGGCTCGCCCATCCATCCGCCCGAGGTGGATATGTACCTCGCAAGAGCAGTTGGCGGCCAGGCGGTGGCTCGAGTTGAGCGCATCCAGAACCTTGTGCATCCGGATACATGTTTGCCCATCCTTGAACCGCATCTTGGGCGAGCAGATCTCAACCGAGACCCAGATATATCCCTCAAGGGCCTTCTCCTCGTCCAGCGGCTCCGCCGAGTTTGCCTTTTTGACCACCCAGCCGGAAGCCCAACACTCCTTCTCCTCGATGCCCGCCGTCAGGAGGGAATGCATGGTGACGGCCTCCTCGCCGGCATCCCTGATCGTTTGAGCCACGCAGTCGTGGGCCTGCTCTAGGCATTGCTGCTCGTCGTCCTGGCATCGCGCTTCGACAAGCCGTCGTCCGTCGTCGGGTCGCGGGTCCTCCACCCCCGGCGCAAGGAGCGGGAACAGCAGCTTCCATTCCAGTGCCACCGAGATATCCTCGGCGCGGTCGACCTCGGCGGCGGTTTGGTTGGTGTCCCTTTCGGGCGGTACCTCTGCGACGCGCGCGCCCGGGTAGGCGGGATTGGCGGGAGCGGCGGTGGTGTTTGGCTGACCTGTCTCGGGGCTCTGTCGATCATCGTCGAGAATAAATGGCGCCATCCTCCAAGCCAGAGTCCCCTTCACGGTCGCGCGGATGAAGAGCGGAAAAGCCCATAACTTGGCCAACCCCAGCCCGAGCAGGAAGAGAATTACCGGAGGGCGGCGCCTCGAGACCCTGTCGGCCGATGGTATCATTCGCGGTCCCGGTGTTCGACGAGTTCGACGAACCCCGCAAGGCATTATCAATCCCTCGGAGCGGCCGACCCCATGGTCATCCGCACATGGCGGAAGGAACAAGCCGGTTGGTTCGGACACTCGACAGGCAGCCAAGACCCCCATCCTCTCCAGGGCGCTGGGATCCGGGGGAAGGTCGAGGTCCCAGGCCGAGTTCCAGGCCGAGTCCCTGCAATCACGCTGACAAGGGCGGTGCGGTTGGCCCCCGGGGCACCAGGGGCCACAGAGGGCCCATACTGCAAGTCCTCCAGACTGCTTCGGGCAGCAAAATCTGCAAGCGGACCACCATTGCATGGATACGTGCATGGCCCCATGCATGGTTGGCACATCACCAGACAGAGCCCGAGACTCGACATCTGGTTCACTGGCTGCAAGATGCCGCCAACAGATTGTCGAATGCGGCATGGCCACGCCCTCTCCCCTGTCCGTCCCCTCTCCGCACTCTCCCATCGGGTCGGGGGGGGGGGGGGGGGGGGGGTCAGAACAGTGAGAGAGCGAACCGACCGTCGTCCCTTCTGGAGGACGCAGGTTGGGGGGTTTGCTTGCTCACCGCAGGTTCGGCCCTGCAGCAGCCACTGCCGCTAAAATCGACCCCCTTTTGCGCGCCTGCGCGGGCTAGCGGGACGACCCCTGACCCCCCCTTGGCTGCTGCTGGCTTATCTCCGCCGGGAAAAACGACCGAGGGACGGGCGGCACACACACACACACACAAACCAACCAGACAACCAACCCTCGCAACCGCCACATGACCCGCCCGTCAGCACCGAATCCATGGGCGACAGAGGGCGGTCAGCCCGCTGGGGGCCCTGAGCCCGAGGGGGGGGAGGGGTTCTCGGCCAACCCGAGCGCTGCTCCCGCGCCCGCTCCCCCTGGCTCCCTGGTCCGCCACTGGGGGCCGCCCCCCACACTCGCTTCTGGGTTCTGCCGGGCGTGCGGGAAAACAACTCCGGGAAAAACTGCTCTTTTTCCTCATTCAGGCAGGCCTTGGGGGCCCTTGGATGGCAAATTTGACGAGGGATCAGAGAAGTGAAGCCCAAACCACGGGTCTCGAGCATCCTGTGTCGGCTTGGGGGGGGCCTAAATCTGGGCCGAAAGCAGCACGCTGCGAGTTGGGAGATGGTCAGCAATTAACTGGCGATCTGCGATTGGAAGCTTCTTCCCCAGCCGTGTCGCACGTGTGACAAACGGTCCAGGCAGGTAACCTGGGAAATTTCATGATGCACGCCGCGATGGTTCCGGCCAACTGCTGGTTCAAGACTCGGCAACCACGGGAGGAGAGACAACTCTCTGCAAGCAAGGAGCCAAACCCAGGCACGAACCGGGGGGTTGTCTGTGATGTTTGCAAATGCTCTGTTCCCGAGTCTGGCGGAGGTGATAACGGCATGTGAAACGAGACTGGAGAGAGGAACAGAACCTTCACAAAAAAGGAAAAGAGAAAATAAAGGAGAAGCAAAAGGACAACAAAAAGGGGGAAAAAAAGGTCAACTAACGCCCATGTAGAAAAGTCAACCCAAAAGGAAGCAAAAGGTGCTCACTCGACTCAAGCGCAAACCCGGACTCCAACACCAACCAGATGGGCACGCAACCGCAAACAACAAGGGCAACGATGACAACAGCAGCACAAACCAGCATAAACGCAATACCATTCATTCATTACAAGTACCTCGGCCGTTGCAACGCCGGTCGTTCAGCAAAGCCCTCAAAAAAAACGCTACCTATATACTTCGTATACCCTTTCCTTCAAACACATGCGCCCAACGGGACACACCTGGACGATCCCCGCAGAAATATACACCAAGCAAAGATCGCAGCACAAGACAGGCCCTCCCTGACCATGCGTTAGATACATGATGCAACGACGAACTCGAAAAAATATGGGGGGAAAACCGACTCCAGAACTCTCAAAAAAAGAACTACCACCACCACCGCCCGCGACCCCCCTAACCATGGGATGGGACGCTACTCCCCGACCATCGGATTTTGCTCTACTCCGGCACCCTCTTCCCGCCACAATCCGGAATCTTGACGCCATCCTTCAGCTTCCGATCCACTGTCATCAGACCCCAGTGGTCCTCCCACTCCTTCCCGTCGGTGTTGAAGCGGATCTTCCACGGCTCATCAAACGCCTCAAACCAGAAATACTCGGTCCCGTCCCGCAGGGCGCGGCAGACCCAGTCCTCCATGAAGGTATTCATCTCCTCGATACCAGCCACAGCCTTGTCGGGGCAGTCGGTCTCGAACTCGTTGCCGCAGGCCATGCCGCCCTGGGAGGGCCAGCCCGTCTCGGCGATGATGTTCATGTCGTCCTGGGACTTGAGGAAGGTGCTGGTCTTGTTGCCCCAGAAGTACATGGTCCAGTCGGCGCCCTCCTCGGCCTTGGTGCCGGCGAAGAAGGGGTGGATGTTGGCCATGATGGCGTCGCTCTGGCCCGCCAGCGCCGACGTCCACTTGTCGCCCAGGTCGCTCGTCGCCACGGGCAGGCTCATCCCGCGCTCCGTCAGGTTGTGCCGCACGTCTTCCAGCAGCGTGCCCAGCGCCGTGATGGTCATCTGCTCGCGGAACAGGATCTCGTTGGCCACGATGACGCCCTTGAAGTAGCTGTCGCCGTACTCGTCCAGTATGTCCCACATCTGGTGCAGCTGGCGGGCGTTGGTGGTCTCGTTGCCGTCCTGCCAGACCCCGAGCCAGATCTTGACCTTGTCTTGGAGCTTGAGCTGGTTAACCGCGTGGACTAGCATCTGGGTCTGGTTGCAGTCGGTGCCGTAGAGACGAACCACGTTGGTCATCTGGGACAGGACGGCGAGATCGCGCGTGATGTTGTTCTGCGACGGCGGGTTGTGGACGCATTCGGGGTATTGCGTGTTGAGGGGGGTGTAATCCATGCCGGGGAAGACCTTGCGAAGGTCGGGGTTGTTCATGAGGGCTTGGATCTCGGACGAGTCGGCGCTGAGGTCACCGTTGGCTTGGGTGTCACCTTCGGCGGTGTCGGTACTGTCCCCTCCTGATGCGCCGTCGCTGTTGCTGCCGGTGAGGTCCTTGTCCTTCAGTACCACCCCGAACACGATGCCGAGCACGATACCGGCGATAATGGCGATGGCGAGGGCGATGAGAATGATGAGCTTCCACTTCTTGCCGCGCGCGGCGTCCTTGGAGGCGGCAGCCGCCTGCCACTCCTTCGCCCCGCCAGCACCCGCGGGGCCGGCGTTGTATATCCCCCCTCCACCTGACCCGCCCGAAGCGGAGTCGCCGCTAACGCCGTTGTTGACGGGCGCATACTGGTTACTGATGCTCCCGCCGCTCCCGTTTCGGCTAACTAACCCTCCTAGGACGCCGCCGGTGCCGGCGCCGCCCGCGGCAGCGGCACCCCCGCGACTGGATCCGAGACTGAGCATACTAGTCCGCTGTCCCCTCCGTGCGTATCCGAGCCCGTCGTCGCCGTCGTCTATGATGTCGTGTGGGTTGACAACACCAAGGCCGGAGTCTCGGTGGCGCGAGAGGTTCTGGTACGGATCGTCCGTGTAGATATTGTCGCCTATCCTCGACGGTGTCCGCTGTCCTGGTGTCGCGTACCCCGACCCGACGGGCACTGCGTTAAGCCCTTGCAGACTTGAATGTGAGCTTCTATCTCCCGGGTGGTTGTCACCCCTTGGCAGCATGCCCCTCTCGCCGTAACCTTGCCCGTGCCCCTGCTGCTGGTATGGTTGTTGGCTGTGAATGGCGTTGAGCCCGCTCTCTCTTGCGTTCTGTTCGGCGACCGTTAGGGCGATCCCAGCCATGCCTCCCGCAGCAGCGTTGCTAAAGTTGTCTGCACCTGGTGTGATTGTGTTCTGGGGAGAAGGCCGCTGCACCGATGGTGGATACGAGGTCCCTTGGCCTACTTGACCCCAGGAACGTCTGTCCGTCCCTCGCTGTGGGGATCCCCGGTGTGGAGACCGCGAGTCGCCGTAAACGTTCGGTATTGCGCCGGATGCGGCGTATGGTCCAGTGGCTCGTCCACCGTTTGCGCGCTCTTGGCTGTATCGCCTCTGGGAACGGAGTCTGTCGACGGACGGATCGCGGCGACCTCTGGGTTGGTATTGGGATGGCGGGGAGTGGTATGCGTCTTCTTGGTACCGGTATGGTTGCTGGTGTTGGCGGTGACGAGGAGGGGATGGGTCTACAGCGCCAAGCGGTTGGCGTTCGGCCATCTCGTCTTCTGAATAGTACCGTGGCTGCGCCATTGTTCACGGGTCTGAGACAGGCGCAGCACACAATTCGAGGATCGCAGCCTTCAGTTCTTTGGCCCCACCAGAGTGTCGCAGAGTGTTTCGACTGGCTGGGACTGGCTGGGACTGCTTGGGGGAATCGTAATCACCCTCGTGCTCGTACTGGGCGCACAGAGAGCGAATCCAAATTGGTCGGGCTCAATTGAGGGGAGTGCGGGTGGAACGAAGAATGGCGTGGCTTGGTTGGTTTCGTGTGTCAAGTGTGTCGAAAGCGGGATGTTCAGGTGGGCGCCGCAGCGCCTTCCGCACTCAACTCGTATTTGGGCCCTGCGCCCCCTGCTGTTTCCTTGTTTGGACCCCTCGCGAGGTTGGGTTGTCGCAGGATCTCAAAATCCTCCACTCTGTCGGCGCCGGCGCACGGCGCTGTGTTCGAGACTGTCGGTCGTACGGAGAATGCAAAGTTCATGTACATGCGACGCAAACGGGTGGTCGCAGCTGTCTCGCAAAAAAAAAATAAGTACACAAACTGGGATGGAAGAATCGGTTTCGGGTGTCGCAGCAACAGGAGGGCGACGCCAGCATGGAGCGAATGCAGTCAAGTGGCTCCGCCAAGGAGCGGGCTGCAGACTTGATCTGGACTTGGATCAGGCCTGAAGCTGCAACAGCTGTGGTGCTGGATGGGGGCACAAGTTCGCAGCCTGGTGACAGATACGCCGGCTGAAGTGGGTTGAAATGGCCGAGAATGGAAATAGGCGGGGGCTGGCCCCTGAGATCTGAACGAAGATTGGCTGCAAATCGCTGTTGGCTGGGCAGCACGTCAGCCGCAAGCATATCTCTGCCCCGCCAACGATCCCCAACCACAAAATTCGCGCTGCCTGCAGCCATCTTTGACTCTCATTTCCGCACAATGCGCGACCACGGAAAGGTCCGTTTGTCTGTCATATCTATCGTTTGGAAACCTCGGTTTGCATCTGAGGCCTTGACATTCCAACATTTAATCCGTTCAGCCCGATCGCTTTTCACCTTTGTGTCTTTTGTGTGTTTGACCAGTTCGGACGGAATCCACGGCCAAGCCCCGCCCCACACACATACGTCATGCCATCAGCATGGAGCAATTGCGCCGCACCTTGATGCGCCTTGATAAAAACAACCTCAAGGATGTAACAGAGAGTTATCTCGTCGGGAGAGTTATCTCGTTGGTTAGAGGTATGTCCATAATTGAAGAGGGCCTTTCATTGCTCTGAGTCCCAGCAAACCCACCGTCGGATCTCATCAGATCCCAAACGGGTCTTCATGGCACATGGCTATCCGTATCCGTGCATGGATGGCTGCCATTGAGACAATAAAACCAAGACACGGGGCCACCCACCGCCCACCCATGGAGGAGCACATACCAACTCCGTCTCACAACGGCCATCATGGTAAACCGAATTACTAGGTGTATTCATATCTAGGTAAAATCCAGCGCGGCCTGTAGCCAATGACTAGTACTTGGTACGTAACACCAATTGGTTAGGTACCTAATTAAGATATCGCGACTTCGCCTCGAAAGGGACAACGCACTCACTTGCTTTTCTTCTGTAACAGGTGGCCCTCTCATCCCATCACACATCATCAATCTCGACTCTACCACACTCAATGATGCGGCACCACATGACGAGGGCGGCCAGGTGAACATCCAATTGGTGAAAAATGTTGAGAGCCGAGAACATCACAGACCCATTGTTGTCTGACACAAGTAACTCTCCAACCCTTTCCGGTTATTTGTCCTGGGGACAGTCCGAGACAACGTCTCACTCTGTCTCCAGGAAATGATACCCGGGTGCTAACTACAGACATCCTCAGAGTTGCATTTCCCGTGTCTCTTGGGCTAACCAGAGTCTAGACCAGGATGATCTCAGGTGTAAGTCATGCCCAGTTTACACTCAATAGGTACCTCGGTAGGCAGCGAACGCTAACCCGACACTGCCATTCACTCATCCTCTTACACCTTCCACGCCGCCCCGACTCGACCGACGAGTTGATAACAAAACGGTTCCCGACTTTTGCCCCACACTCCGGGCACGGCACCCGCGCGGACTCCAACAGTCAGTTCAAGACTTGTTTGTTTGTTAGCGCGGCGCTTTTGACAAGGGCCCTGGTTCAAAAGCAAAGGAAAAGCCCTCCATCGACAACCCAACAACCGATTAACATACAAAGAATTGCGATGTCTAGAAGCATTAGTACTTTTCCCTATTGAAAAAATGCGCCGTTTTGCCGTTGAGTTGGGAATTTTGGCAAGAAGCGCGGTCTTGAAGTCAGCGCTCGCGAAATTTCAAGGATACCAAGGACTCCAAGACAAGTTAACCGGGTGAGTTGACAAAAGCCTTCGATCATGTCCATCTGTGCTAAGTAAGGTATGTCCGGTGTAGACAGATAGGTGCACATTCTAGGATTCGACACTCTGGGAAGTCGACCGGTCTGTGTGAGGAGGGAGGTGAAGAGCAAAAACAATGCGTCAGCCGCGAATCGAACGCGGGGCCCATCGATGGCAACGATGGATTTTACCACTAAACCACTGACGCTTCGAGTGAAAGTAGTTCCAAATTTAGCCTCTATCATGGTGTTTCTGCATGCTATGGAATTCAATCCAGCTCCCAACCCATTTGGATCTAAGCCATGATAATACGGGCAGAGCGCATTGGGTAGTACCTCACCGTCCTTCCTTTGCGTTCTCCGCAGCCGCCGTAGCAACCTCGTTGAATCGCATCTAGGTACCTAGGCAAAAGCATGACATGAAAACCAACCTGCTACCCGTAGTGTGGAAGGCAAAACGAATGCTTCAGACAGCCCCTGACCCCTTTTCCCATACCTCCCCTGCCGAGCAGGATCTGAGGTAGAAATCGATGCTTTCCGTATAGAAGCCGCTGGCCTAGAGGAACAATTATAAGGGGTCGTGTATTCCGGATAGTGAGCGGTATTCTGTTTGGGTTTGGATCGGATCTGACATCAGAGGTAGCTCAGGGTCAAAGGCGAGGATACGGGCAAGCGACGCAAGGATGGAGATCGGGATACACTCAGGCCACACGGCAGGGGGGACGCCAAAGTGGCCTGGCTCAAGCCACCGCCAAACCTCAGGATTCGAGACGCAACTTGAGTAGCTGGTAGGTATGTACTTGGTACAAACAACCCGAGAGAACCCGAGACCTCTCATTCTTTTTACCACTGACGTAGTACCAGATTGAACTTCTCGACCAGTACTGCAAGCTTCCCCCGTTTGTAAAAGCCCTCCCCAACGGCTCAACCGCAGTACTCCGGCCCGGTACCGCAATACCCCCACTGCGAGCAACACATGCCGGCCGGGCAGCCGCCCGCGCATGCCCCTCCGCCACCCGGGGACGTAGTCGGCTGGGGCCGGGACGAAACAAAAGTCGGAGGCGGGATGATTACGCTCGTTCCCCCGCCTGGGACAAAACGAAGCACTAATTAGCTGATGCTCTGCTCTGGGAAATCTCACTCCCAACCGGGGGGGCTCGCCGCCACTCACAGAAGTCGGGCCCGGTTCCGCAGTAGCCCCACTGGCTGCAGCAGAGACCCGGGGCGCATGGGCATTCGCCTTGCCGTCCCGAGAGGATGGGGCTGGCTGCGGCGAGGCAGACGGCGGTGACGAGGAGGGTGGCAAGCTTGGTGATGTACATGTTTGATAGTGTTCTGGGCGGAGCCGCGAGGTGGTGGGAAGGCTGTATGGATGGAGATGGGTTGGTGAGAGGATAGGGAGGGAGTGAAACTTGTCCTGGGAAAATGGGCGCTGGACGGGGTTTAAGTATGTACGTGAGAGAGTGTTTGGTTTCGATGGGAAAAGACTATCTACCTAATCTCCTGCTTACTCGGCCAAGCCGCCGGAGCTCCCCAAGGTTGGCTTCTACTATCAGGCTACTATCAAGCTTGCCAAGGAGAGGGGGAAACACCGCCAGTGAGACCAATGCGGTAATTGGGGAGTATGACGGTGAAATTGACCGGTCACATCTCGGGTTGTTATTGCATAGCAAACACAAAGACCTGGCATTCTGACCAACGGCTTCGGCAACGTGGAAAAAGGCAACACGGGACGCAGGTCGGTGTGGTGGTGTTTATGCACGCGTAGCTGCAGTAGTATATTTATTGGATGATGGTACTGTACCTTGCAGCGGTCCAGCGCGAGTCTAGCGAGGAGCACAGCATGGCATCGGAGGGGGCCCCGAGATTCCGGGCTCTACGTTGAGTTCTGAGTGCGTACAACGAAGAGAACCAATGCCATATTGACCGTGGACTCTTTATCTGGAATCCCAACAACCCGCTAGGCGCCCCTAATAAACAGTCCGTAACAATGACAACAAGAACGTCAGTTGCATGTTAAAATATTGATGGTTGAGTTGAAGCCAGATGGCGCCCGATATTGCAAGCCACCTATACTATCTAGGTAATCATTGCAACGTCAGGTCTGTTCCTTGAGCTGTGTGATGAAACTCCCGTGGAGGGTTGAGTTAGCCTCGCAACTCGTGCTATATATGACTTTGGACCACGCAGCCCGCATTTCAGGCCTTGACCATCCTCTCTCCGGGGCCGTTCCTCTCAACGAGGTGGACGGCGTGTCACTTCCGAAAATCGGATCCCGGAAACTCCGGTCATAAACTCCTCACATAACATGAGCGGTAATCTCGGGGAAATGGTTAGCAGTGAGTGGTGACGGGAAAGGGAAGACAACCATCTGGGCATAGTCACATTACGCTGTCCCCACCCTAGTATATCACGCCAAACGGCTTGCGGCACCATCCAATGCCCACAACGCCGGTTCCACCGGCGGATGTCTGGGATTCGGGTCTCATGTGGAGAGCACTCTTGGCCAATGATCCTTTCGGGGATATCGGGTATCCGTCACAAGGAGCTGAGGTCCCCAAGCCAGGTGCGGGACTAAGCCTGGGATCTTTTACTCAGAAGTGATGCCTAGATAGGTGCGGAGAGAAAATGCAAGAATGAGGTGTTGGTGTCTGTCGTTGTCTACGAAGTACATAGATTTAGTTATTCTAATTATCTGGGAAGATAAAGAGCAATGTTTGCCGGTGTTGGATTCGCAGCACACGATTTGATGAGAAAAGCTCAAAGCCGAGATGTGGCTAACCCAACAGTCCCGAGTCTCCTGTTGGGTTTATATATTAATAACCCGGAGTTAAAATACCATCCTCATGCGCTTGGTGAGTATCATCTTCGCCAGTTTTCTGTTCTCGGGACCTGTGGGGCTCATTTGAACCCGGGGAGGTCGGCAGCCGTCACGTTGGCTGCCATGGTTCAAGGGTATGTGTTTCAGTTGTCTCCCAAAGGGGAAAAGGGCGTTTACCGCTGGTTGGGCGGCTTCTTGGCTGATTGCTTAACTACATCCAAAAGGGTTAGCAAAAAGAGAGTTGGCCGTGTGTGATCACACGTTCAATGTTGCTTTTCATCAAACAGGGGCAATCTTTCGCCGGTGAGATTCTGTAATCGTAACCCGCCACGCGGGCTCTTCTTTTTTGGGGAGGTGGAGAGCGCCCAGGCGAGCGTATTTAACGAACTTGAACAAGCGTATCGTCGACTAACCGGATAAGCTACCTCGTACATACAGGACATCCACGAAGCTTCCCACCCTCCCTTGCAGCAGCCCAATAGGATGAAGCCCCGGTGGGAGAGCCGGGTTGATCACGCCGCTAGCGGACAGGCGGAGCTTGTCTGTTTCTCCGGCCCATGAGTTTGGATATAATCTGTCTGCACCTCTCACTTTTGGCACCGTCTGATATTGTACCGGTGAATCTCTTCTGCAAACAGACACCTCCTCATATCAGTGGTCCCCGGCCTGACTTCCTTTTCCCGGCCATTTTCCCACTGAATATCGCTTTTATCCAGCCATGCGGGTTGTCATTGTGGGCTCGGGGCTGAGCGGCTTGGTCATGGGCCATTGCCTGCTCAAGGCCGGCATTGACGATTTTGTCATCCTGGAACGTAGACCAGATCCCATGGAACGGAGTGGTTCGGTCATTGGCTTCTTTCCGCATACGTTCAGGATTCTGGATCAGCTCGGCCTACTAAAAGACTTCCGACAACTCTCTGAGCCGGTCCACCACTGGATTCACCTTGACCCTCGCGGCCGAACCATTTCTGACGGCGAGTTCTTCGACCGCATCCAAGCCAAGTGAGTCGCTCCAAATTCTGGATATCAACGTGGAGGCTAATCATGGGATATTACCAAGCCATGGGTATTTCTCAATGTTCTTCATGCGTTGCGAGGTGATGGAACTCCTTTACTCCAAGCTACCGAACAGGGAGCGCTACGTTTTGCCGAACAAGAAAGTCACTGCTGTAAAGCAAGACGACTCCTCGGTTACGGTGACCTGTGCGGACGGGTCGGTGTACGAAGGCGACGTTCTAGTCGGGTGCGACGGCGTGCACAGCGCCGTCCGGCGTCTCGCTTTCCCACCGTCAACAGAAAAGCCTAAGGCGCCTCCTAGGTCCGAGTACCGTGGTCTGTTTGGGTCCAGTCCTCTGCCAGACGGCGTTCCGCCTTGCAACCTCACAGAGACGCACGACACCAACACTGCCTTTACGTTGCTGTGCACAGAGAAAACAGCATTTTGGCTGGTTACCGACCTCAAAGACAAGGACGCGCCGGCCGTCGGGAGATACTCTGAGGAAGATATCCTTGCGCTTGTCGACAGGTGCAAAGACCACTCGGTGGCTGCAGGGGCGGCGGTCACCTTTGGAGACTTGTGGCGGACACGGAACTTGTCGCCTGGTCCGGGCATGTACGACTACAACGAGGGTGTTGCTGAGAAGTGGCATGACGGGAGAGCGGTGATTGTTGGAGACGCAGCACATAGCGTAAAGTATCCCGCCGGTATCATAAAACCTCGAACCTGAACTAACAAACCGCCTCCTCTCAGATGACACCAAATATTGGCCAGGGGGGCAACAACGCCATACAATCCGTCGCATCCTTCGTCAACCACCTCCGCGCGGTTGCTCAGGAGAAACCCAATCCAGAAGTGGCGGATCTCGAAAAGGCTTTCGCCGGTTTCCAAAAGGAGCGCAAGGCACCAGCGGAATTTATTACGGGCATAACGGGAAAGTACACTCGGTGGACTTCGTATCGGACTTGGTCTGGCTGGTTCATACAGTCCTGGCTCTGGCCGCTGCTAGGTGACCGGTTCGTCATAGACCGATTGTTGTCGCCCGTTATCAAGGACAGTGTCAAGTTGGATTTTGTGGAACTGAAGAACCCCCCTGCCGGCAGAGTGCCATGGACGCACGCCTGATCGATCTTAGGTTGGGGATGTGAGAAGTGCAAGTTGAAGACTGGGTCGTGGGATGTTGGACAAGCTGTACAGAATACGAGTTGGCTTTTTCTCCTGAAGCGGGCGTTTGGATGCCTGTCGAGCATATAAACAATGAAGACCGCGTTTGATCCCGTTCTAGCATCTAGAACACTGTGTCCAACCAACCATCTCCTGGTGATCTGGTGGTTTACATGACCATACACCCCCAGCCCCTGGTCTCCCCCCCGCGGCTACCCCCGCTAGATTGTAGGCCCTCGAACTCACTGTCACACGGCAAACTCGACAATACCCGTGTCACACGCTCATCAGCATCAGTAAGAGCCCACTCCGGTACCTTCTGCAGCGCTCCCGTTTTTTTTGCCTCGTGAACTATGCTTGGCAGCACACCGCGCCGAAAAAGACCAACGTAAAACTGATGAAGGCCCATCTTGGTTCTAACATCCAGATCAGGTTGGAATCCATACTCGATCGCTGCTGCAGCAATCTCCGGAGCGGCTGTCAGGACATTAGCATCCTCGATGGCAAGAAAGTGCCTTAGCCTCCACACGGAGGGCCGGGGGTTCCCTCCGGGGTACGCCAGAAACTCGCCCAGAGCCGAGCCGTCAGCTACTCGGGAGACTTGGTATCGTTCAAAGAGGGCCATCAGCGAACCCTCTTCCCAGGCGGTCCAGAACTCCTCGAATGTGCAAGCAGGAATATCCCGAGGCGCAAGATGTTCCATGCCAACACTCCTAAAGTGTTCTTGGGCTAGCTTGTTGCCGAAAAGAAGCCGCTGATAGAGATTTGACAGGCTGTTTTCGTCGTACGCATCTGAACAGACAACGTAGCCAAAGTCAAACCAAAGGTCGAGATTTCGCATGACAGGTGGCGGGTGTGTACTGTCGAGAAGAAGGGTGAGGAAGAAGAAGCAGTTTTGTTTCGCCCACGGCGTGAGCCGTTCGATAGGCTTCGCCTGATCCGCCGGGTCCAGATAAACCCTGGCTTCGCGGAATCGCTCTTGGATGTAGTTGTGCACATCGTCTTCATCACGCGTCGAGTTCTTGCTAGCATCGAGAACATGCCTGTGTCGGAGAAACCAGGTATAGTAGCCACCGCGGCAATTCTCTGGTAGCGTCGAGAACAGCTCGATGATTTTATCAGCAAGTATGCCCTGCGTCATCCAGCGATCCACTTCTTGACTGGGAACCAACTGATAGTTGAAGACGCCAATATATAGCCCAAAGAGTTTAGACTCCTCACGCCGGTTCCTGCAGCGCTGAAATCCATAGTCCTCTCGGACCCGAGAATCCTCGGGGTGGGAATCGTGAAAACAGTCCCGGCGAAGAAGGTCCGCCGTTGTAATAGGCCGGCGGTTGCACGCGAACAAATGTAGATCAGCGGCCTCGTCTTCGCAGGAGACACTGCAGAACCAAGTTCCGCTGCAATGCGAGCACCTCCGTGTCGTTATCTTTTCGCAATCGGAACCCCCACAGTGACCTGAAGTAGCCACGACTTCCGTGATGGACTGTTCTGTCTCCGTCTCGTTGTCCGAATATGAGGCACCCCTGCTGAATCTGTCAGTTTGCACGGGGTGCGAATCTCAGAAACGACTTACTCTGAACTCGACGCTTTTACAAGGAGATTTGCTCGCTGATTCTGCAGGTAACTTGATATCATGGAAGTCGTCGAGGGCACATTCGATCCTGGCAGGACGGTGCTTATGGTTGAGGCACCGACCGTCGATTCCTTCGCCTGGGGCAATACCACGGTATCCCGACTCTTTATCTCGGCTCTAAGCAAAGACTCGAGATCCCTCACAGAACGTATGATTTGCTCCATCTGAGCCATCGGTAACCCCTGAAAGTCGGGAAGGCCCCAGAGGTTGTATAGTTTGCCGTGGGACCCTCTCGTCTTGACTCCGCCAAAGAGGGCGAGGAAGTGCCAGCATAGAAAACAACTCTTCTTGCTGCAGCCAATGTAGTCAACAGCTGAGGAGCCCACGCTGCCGATTTTGGGGGGGTGGATATAAAGCTGCAGCAATTGCATCTCGGCGTGGACCTCCCATGTCGATGATTGTAGCTTGTCGAATTCCTGCGCGAGCTTGCGCTTAGTCCACCGCGGCCGCTTGCCTTCGGGTGCCAGGAGGTCATTGACTCCATCGTCTGTGAATGCACATCCAAGATGCTGAAAGAGTCTGCCTAGCGTCCAAATTTGGCCGTGCTCCGAACTGGAGGCTTTACGAGGAGCTACGCAGCCGACGGTAGAGATCGAAATCGTGGCTATCCCCGGCAGCTTTTCCGCAGCGCGTACAAGAACGCCAAACGAGGTCCGGACTCTTCCTAAAAACCCCAGGCAGGCCCTCAGACTCCGGGAGCCGGAGGGCCAGACCTCGCTAAAATCGTCTTCCGAGAAGGTTTTGTACAACTCGTGTGCTTGGGCTACCAGCACCTCGCTTTTCTCTGTGTTGGATACGTACTGGGCAAAAGCGGCATCGCACAGTTCCCTCAGGTGGGCAACGAGTTGCGACGGGGATTCCCGTTGCTCTCCCTGCATATATCGCTTGAGTACTTGTCTGAGATCGCAGATGTAGTCGTGGATTCTCGCCTCGTAGTGCTTGAGGATAAGAGCCCAAAGCTCGTCCCGGCTGCTTATGTCTTTTGGTATCTTAGCGTATGAGCGGTCCCAAAGACGTTATTATCAGGGAGGTCGGAGCCCAACCTTGACCCTCTGCAATGCGCCGAAGCAGAGCCTCAGTACACTTCATAAAAGCTTCATCCCTTGGACGGAACTTGCTATTCCTAGCGACGAACACTCGAACTTCATCATGAGAGTTGGTCATCAAGGTAGCGCTAACATGGCGGCCGCCCTTCTCGTTGGCCACCAACTCTGCCAGTCTGTCAAGGAATGCTCTCTGCAATCTGCTGCTGCCAAAGTCGGCGAGCGTTGACACTTTGGTCGAATCGGCGTCGTCCAACGCAAGATCACCATCGTCTGGAGTGTACAGATGCGATTCGTCGAAACGCGTCGGGGCCCCGACTTGACCGTGGTAGCGCAGCCGTAGCAGCTTCGTAAGGGCTTCAAATTTGGCTCTGTCGAGACCGTTTGTCTCCCAGTCAAAGCGCCCCGCCATGTTCTGCCATATAAGGACCTTTTTCTCCTAGGGCGGAGCATCAGTAGGGGGTATGGAAGATGCTACCGGCGGCCGGAATGCACGTGTGGTCGGGCTTCGTCGGTAGGCTCGACGAGCTCAAGCCTCCAGTGCGGGCACCAATGAAAACGGGCCGGGACGCCACCACTGTGATCCTTTCAACACAATGTCCCCATGTGAAGCCACAAAGGTCATGTATTCAGAGGAGTGTAGATGTGCATATATTGGAGCTGTAGGTCCTGTAGCTGACGGTGTGGGGGTTAGGATAGGTGAAGAAAGAGAGGCCTCGCCGAGGGTGATGAGGGGCGTTTCATGCTCGAGGACGAAGACGCACTGGGCTTGCTTTAGGGAGGACTGAAAAGCGGCCTCTGATGCTGTGCAGCGATGGCGTATGAGACCACCATGAGATAGCTAAAGGAAGAATCAGGGAAAGCTCAGGGCAAATCAGCCATAGCTCACCCTAGCTCAGTACTGCGAACGAAAAAGGAAATATCATGAGCCTAGATTAGTCTCAGACAACTAGGCTGTTTCGAGGGGGGCGCCGGTTACGTGGTAGACGAAGGGAGCGCATTTCCTTGCGCCTCACTGAATCTAACGCAGTGCCACTTCAGTACCGCAGGGGGAGCAAAATGGGAGGATTTCATAGCTCAGGTACCTCGGTTCGGTCCACGGCGAGACTTAGAGAGAATACTATGAAAACCTCGGCCAAGACACGGGGCGCGACTTTTGCTTGAGGACGCTGACGCCATCGCGGAGACGACTAAATACCAGGGACCTTGGTTTCTCCAGGCGGATTCTTTCCTCCCTCACGCTTATAACCTAGTCATGACCCTATCGGTCTGGCTAGCTGGGCGAAAACCTGTCCCACCAGTCGATCACATCCCTGCAAACAACCCTCCGGACTCTTCAATGCCATTACTAGTACCTCAAGACCAACTCCAGGGACTACCGACCCGGGTCATATCCGATAGAGATCCGGAGTTTCTCTCTAACATGTGGAAGGGCATCATCAAGGCGCTCAAGGTGTCAGTGTTGTTGTCAACATCCTACCACCCGCAGATAGATGGTCTTTCCGAAAGGAAGAACCAAAATATCGAGATGTTTATCCGGTATTATATTGCGGTGGATAACGGAACTCCATAAACCGACATTCTACTAGCTCGCCGATCGCCACTGGAACTCGTCTGTAGAGTTTAAGCCGAAGAGCGTAGTAGATCTCGTCTTCTAGAAATTGAATAAGGGATATCGAGACGCTTGTTGGTTGTTCTATTAGAAGGAGGGGCGTAGCTCAGGAGAATATAAAGAAATGGCATATTGCGGTGCCTCGCGAAAGGTTCAGGCCGGGTTTTATAGGCCGGGTTTTATCGGCCGGACTGTATCGACAAAGGAAGCCACGATTCCAGTGAAGCAACTTGCTGGTGGCGTGAAAGCTTATCTCGGAGCCTAGAGAGCGACTTCTGGGGGAACTTGTATCAAGGCCGAAAGGACCGGCTCCTTCGTCTTCCGAGCCGAATTAACGGCCTCGGTCCGTATAAGGTACCTACCTGACAATTTGCCAACGACTCCTCTAGTGTATACTAGTAGCCCAAGTCCCCCCGGTATTCAATATTAAGAGTGACAAAGTCGACCCCCACCGCTTGGAACGAAGCGCGAATAGCCTCGAGTTCCGATTGGACCCACGATGGAGCGATATGAACTTCCGAGTAATCAAACCTGAAGGGATCGAAAGTATCGGCGTCGACATCGATTATACGCAACCTCCTAAAGCGACCGGCCTCGACTTTGGCAAGTAAACCCCGTAGGGCAGGGTTGAGAGTGTGGTGGTATCCGCGAAGCTTAACCTCGCAAATCGAGGAAGGAAGGGTTGAGGCGAAGAGGTTTAAAACTTCGCTAGGTGTAAAGTGTGGGCGGTCGTAAAAGAAACATGCCTCGGTACAGAGCATCTCCAACGAGTCCAAGCAGCGCAGCAGAGAGAGGCCGCGGAAATCGGGGCCAGTTAATACCCTACGTTCACCCGTCGTGTAGCTCAGTTCCTTCAGCGTGGTTTTCCACGGGGCCAATACCCGGATGAGCTCGTCGAATCCGACACCGGGCGCCCGATAAGCCGTATTTGCTGTTTGTCCGAGGTTGAACTTGCAAAGTCTTGGCCCAACCGGGGGCAAAAGGATGTCGAGGTCGCGAAGGGACAAGCAAGTGTTTGCAAGCTTCAGCTCAGTGAGGTTCTGGAGCGGTTGTGGCTGGGTATGAAAGCTACCACAGTCATAAAAATGCAAAACCTCAAGATTGGGGGCTGTCGCGAGAAGGGGGATGGTGTAGTCGAGACGGTTGTGAGAACTTGGGCTGGAGCTGAATGCCAGTCTTCTGAGTGACGTCAAAGTCGGGCTCGGGAGCTGCAAAACGGCGACAAGGAGATTTTGAAAGGCTACTATAGCATAGGCTCTAAGGCAGTTGGGTAGTGTAAAACGAGCACTTTCCAAGTTCGGCACAAGACGCAGCAGCATCACAATCATGGCTGCGTATTCGGCGGCGTCGCGGAATGAGATAGGCCGGGAAAGGCGCGTGTTGGTTACAACATCCACGATTGCTTCTTCGCTCAGCGTGCTTAGTGTTTTATTATTGCTCAAGACGTCGCGGAGCATATTGACGACAGGGGTAAGGGGGGGGACGGGGAAGATCCCCAGGAGATAGGAAGATATCGACATACGCAACCTCGACCTCGCGGATTCGCGGCGCGCGATGTGGCTGGTCCCACGAGTTGTTAAGAAGGCACCAAAGCGCCGGCCCCCGCAGGCTCGCGCGATGGCATAGATACTCCCCTGCCACGGCGTGTAAAGTTTTGTTCACACGGCTCATGTTGAGTAGGATCACAGAGCCGCCGGCGGTGCGGGAGCCCACCTCAATTGGCCCGCCGAAGCTCCCCCCGTGGTCGTGCTTACCGTCGAAGGGCCATGTGTCTCCTCGTCGGTTCCTCGCGCAGTGGGCGCAAAAGTAGCTGCATATCTCAGCGAGGAGTTCTATGGGCAGGGACTGAAGGCCTCGTCGGGATGCTTCGACCTTTGTGCCACCAGCTTCGGGCACGTTGATGGAAGCATTCATGGCCTTGTAACTAGTGCTTACTGTCCTCTCGAGCAAGAGATGATGACCTGCTAGGGAGGTCGGGAGCAGGGCGATTTATGTAGGCCTCCTCGCAGCGGCTAACCGGTTCCAGTGTTGTTGTTCTGGTATATATAAAAGGCATGCGACTGTCCAAGGTTTGTGGAACATCCTTAGTCAAAGGTGAGCACAAGGACTGCTACGTTACAAAGAATGCTACAGCAAGCACTAGCAATGTCTTACGTTTGTCTAAACTTCTGATGTCGAGTTGTTGCCTTGTAAATTACCAACCGCGTTCGTCACCCGCTCTCGCAGGAGACGCCGAGGAAGATTATGCCCAACAGCACCCGCGGGCCCATGGTCCGGGCCTTTGATCACGTCGTCCACGAGGCCACTAGAATCATCTAATAGGGCGGGATGGGCTGGTATGAAGAGAAGCACACCGCCTTTCTCGACGGGCCCCCAGCCAGCCCGGCCTCCGGCAATCTCGGTTGTTTTCCGTAAAGGGATCTTTTACTTTCCTCTGCCTTTGGGAGTTGGACCCCCCCCCTTTTTATTTCCTTCTATCCTACCGTGTACCTAGGTACTTATGTGTTCCTTCTTACATAGATACTTAGGCAGGCACTTAGCCTGCTTGCTGTTATCATAACCTGACGGCCCTGGCGGCAGCTACAACGACAAGGATGGACGCCCTCTGCATGTTACACTACACTTTGTAGACTTCACGGCCAGATCCAGTCACAGCCACACCTTCCCGAACCCACCTCATTTATCGAGGCAGATCGTGCATATTAATTGCTCAAACTGACGCCACTGACGCACGTTGACAAGCTGCCCACGTTTTTAATATCAAGCCTGTGAGGGAACCCGGGACATCTTCTGGGCAATGTCTCAACCCGCAACCCTTCGGTACCTATCCGAAATGGTTCTCGTCAACGCCAAAGTCTTGGCTTGGAAACGGGGACGAGATGCCCACTTAGCTTGCTTCAGGCAGATCACGGGAGATCGATCCGCATGGTATCCGCATAAGGCGACCCCTGAAGATTAACAGAACGCCAGGGTGGGATGGCATTGTTTCATTGAGACAACCGGGTTGTGGGGTGCATGTCTGGCATGGACTCCCACCAGGCGGCTCCAGGCGTGCCGGCTAAAATGGGATGCATCTTGATTGGCCGAGAGAACACGACCTTCACCATTTTAAGTAACCGGACAAGAGGTGTCCGTTGTTTCCCAGCTTTCAGGATTCGAAAGGGGCCGCGAATGACCCCGGCAGCCGGCCCGTTGGCGATGCGGTGCCGACAATAGCACTGCTGCCGTTGCAATGCCCCGCCGCCCGCCGGACCTCTTCCCTCCTCACTGGGGCGTATCTGAACGCGGCTCGCGCGAGTGCGACGTGCCCAGTTAAACCCGGCCTCGCGGGAGGTCCGGGTGGGTTGCTGGAGAAGCCATATATGAAGAGGACGCTCTTCTTCCTCTGGCCTCCTCCTCCCCCTGACCAGCCGCAACTCAGCTGCCCATCCTTCACAACCGATAACTTCCTCGTCCATAATACCACCATGAAGGGACTTCTCGGTGCTGCCGCCCTCTCGTTGGCGGTCAGCGATGTCTCGGCCCACTACATCTTCCAGCAGTTGACGGCGGGCGGGACCAAGCATGGTGTGTTCGAGTACATCCGCGAGCACACCAACTACAACTCCCCGGTCACCGACCTCGCCTCCAACGACCTCAGGTGTAACCTGGGTGGGCTTGCCGTAGGCTCTAGCACAAAAACTCTCTCTGTTCAAGCCGGCTCGTCCTTCACTTTCACTTCGGACGTGGCTGTGTATCACCAAGGTCCTACCAGTATCTACATGTCCAAGGCCCCCGGCGCTGCTTCCGACTATGACGGCAGGTACGTAACGTCCTTTGTTATTTACTCCTCTTCATCATCTAACATGTATCAAGCGGCGGTTGGTTCAAGATCAAGGACTTTGGCCCTACCTTCTCCGGCGGTAGTGCGAGCTGGGACCTCAGCAGTATGTCATGCCCCATCCCACCCTTCATCCCTTTCCAAACTGACCCAGCCTTTCCTTGTAGCCACCTACAGCGCCGAGATCCCCACATGCATCCCGGACGGTGACTACCTGATCCGCATCCAGCAGCTCGGCATCCACAACCCGTGGCCCGGTGGAATTCCCCAGTTCTACATCTCCTGCGCCCAGGTCACCGTGACCGGCGGCGGCAGCGGCAACCCCGGCCCGACCGTCTCCATCCCGGGCGCCTTCAAGGAGACCGACCCCGGCTACACCGCCAACGTAAGCCCCCCCCCCCCCCCCCCCCTTTTCCCCTTTTCCCATCCACCACCACAACTCCCCGCATGATGTCAACCGCCCACTAACACACCACCCCCCCCACCCGCAGATCTACTCCAACTTCAACAGCTACACCGTCCCCGGCCCGGAGGTGTTCAGCTGCAACGGCGGCGGCAGCAACAACGGCGGCGGTTCCAACCCGGGCGCCGAGGAGCCCACCACCACGCTGGTGACCACCACGCGCCCGCCCGCCCAGACCTCGTCCGTGCCCTCGGGCTGCAGCGTCGAGAAGTGGTACGTCTAACCCCCCAACCCCATACCCATACCTCGACTTCCTTTCCCCAGAGAAGGGGGGAGAATATGAGGGGAACTAGCCATCATGTTAACGGATGTTGCGTTTAATAGGGGCCAGTGCGGCGGCTCGGGCTACTCGGGCTGCACCACCTGCGCGTCGGGCTCGACCTGCAACGAGACCAACGAATACTACAGCCAGTGCGTGTAAATCATGCCTACCGCCGGCTTCGCGGGGGGCGTAGTGTTAAGAGGAGATGTGTGAAGAAGAGTGTTGCGTGTATCAGCGGACACAGGGGATGGTAACTTGGACAGGGGCGGGAGTGGGGGTGGGCTTCCACTTGACTTGGTTGAGTTTGCCTGCCTGCCTGCTTGCGTTTGCCTGGCATTCTGTGCATATATTTTAGCTTTTTTGGTAGTATATATTACGCTTTCAACGACCCTGATCGTGGTGGCACAAGTCTATCGCCTTCTCTAATCTTGAATGTTAGATGACCGGTTGTAGACGAGTTCATGATAGTCGGCCAACTAAGTAGGATATCCTCGGACCTAGGGTTGCTCGTATATCTAGGTAGTTCTAGCTCTAGGCAAGCTGGTGACCCCGAGGCCAGCCATGTTCGTCGATAGCTAGGAACTGAGAGCATTTACTATGCTAAGACTTACTACAAGGTACTCGAAGACTTTACCACGATTATAGGACGAGGGTTACTCGTGATAGTTGTGCTGTAATATTATCTTCTTCCTTTTCTTCTTTTCTTTTTCTTCTTCTTCTCTTTTCTTTTTTGTTTTTCCCATCTTTTCCAGTGACAGCGGTGGCGCAATGGTAGCCATAATGTTAACACTTAGTGGATATGCTCTGGCGAGGCGAGATGTGTGGTATCATTAACAGGACTGTCTGTCCCTCATTAAGGTAGGTGGTTCATGTCCGCATGCCAGACAAACCTCTATCCATATCCAAAACACCAACCCAAGAAAACCAAACCCAAAAACCGACGTTACGTCCCAGCCGTATTATCAACCACCGTAGAATCCACCCTCCGCGGAGCCGTCGTACTCCGACAAGCCCGCTCCAGCTCCTTCAACCACACGCCACTACACAGAGCCACATGGGTCCCCTTGAGGTGCTGCCGAAAGTTATCGGCGCGGTAGAACTTCTTCTTGCGGTCGCACACGCCGAAGCGGTGCACCGTCTCGACGTGCCTGACCAGCTCGTCGTGGTCCGGCACGCCGTCCTTGTGCTTGATCTCGCCGTTGCACAAGACACAAATGTTGCTAGTCTCGCCCCCGTAGGTCTGGGCGCGGTACGCCAGCAGCGGGTCCTTGAGCGCCTCGCACGACCAGAAGTCGGCCTTGAGGTGCAGCGCGTTGAGGTGCCGCTCGGCTTCGGTCGGCGACTTGAAGCGCTTCTTGCATTGCGGGCAGGGGTGCGGCTTCTCGGCTTCGTGGTTACTGGGCACGGAGGAGTCACGTCAGCGGGGGCTGCTATCGGTTGGGCGTGTTCGAGGATGCAGGGGAACTTACGTGAGCTCTTCGCTTGTGTGGAAATGGCGCGGCGCCCGCGGGCAGCAGCTGCAGACAAAGGTGGGCTCGGAGCCCAGGCCCGGGGCGACTGCCGGCCCGTCGTGCCGGACACCACTTTCCGCCATTGCCCGATCGAGTGACTGTGACGAGCCGTTGTGGTTGGCCGAGAACAGCGCGGTCGGGTTGATGGTTGCAAGATCCACGCACATGTCCCCGTTCAAATCGGCCACGCTGCCCGAGAAGGAAACGCCAGTAAAGATGGACGACTCGTACAAGCTAGTCATGTCCGTCGACATGGTCCGCGCCAAGCTGTCCGAACTCAGGTTGGAGAATTTGGTCGAGGCCTGTGCCGAATAACGGCTGTCCCACGAGTTCCTCTTGCTCTGGCCGAAGGGAGCACGAGGGAAGGGCGATCCCTCCTCGAAAGCACTGGGAGTTGGAGAGACGGGTGATCCCACCTTTCCTCGAACTGATGATGGCGAGGCCAATGCCAAGGGGGATCCCGGTCCTACCATGCCCGATGCCTCAAGTGCCGAGTCGGAGAAGTCGAGGGAGCCGATCTGGAGCAGCCGCCTCAGAAATTGGTACGGGGTTCTGATGCCAGCTTCGGGCCATTTGTCCACCTCACAGGCCACGCGGGCAGAAGAATGATGCAGCTCCGGGACTGAGGTCTCTGGGATGACGGAATTGTCCGTCAAGGCGTATTGCAACCTCCCATCGAGTAGAGGGTCATATTTGGCGGATGCGGCCGTGAATAACACGGCGGGCAGATGCAGATATTGGGTGGTTGTGAGGTCTTCGGCGGGAACATCGTCGGATGATTGAAAACGGAGCTGTTTCTCGATGGTAATCAATGCATGCCGGACGTAGCTTTGGATGTAAAGACTGTAAAAGGTCGACAGCCACCACCGCCTATCGCGCATGTTCTCCTTGTTGAAGATGACGGACGATAACTCGTCGACGTAGGCTGCGACTCGAGACCGGAGGTTATGAATGCACTCTACCTGGCATTGGCCGCCACCACAGTCCTCGTGGCCCCTGGGCGAAAGCAGGTTTGCCGAATGCAGTCGTAGTGCCTCCAGACAGTGTCGTAGACACACCATGGAAAGGATCACCAGCGATGTCTGGCAGCTGTCAGCAATGTAATCATTTGGTTGCAAATCATGTCCTTACCCTTCCAACCTCTGCCTCGTACAGGCCGGCCGTTTCCAGCATGTTCATAAAGCTTTCCCAGGACTTGATCTCGAGCGACGGCAACAAGGACTGATTCTCTGCAAGTTCCCAAGCGATGACGGCGATCAATTCGGTGTACGTGACCTGGCTGCCTCCAGCTGAATAGCTTCTTTGCAGAGAGCCCCGGTCACGGTACCGCCCGGCCTCAATGAATGAGGTGAAGGAAGCTTGGAAAGCCGGGTCCGTGATCGACAGTTTATACTCGCTGCCTTCGAGCACAGTCTTCATATCGGCCAGCCTTTGACTCTCGGCCGAGAGGAGACATCGTTCGGCGACGTCGACGGAGCGGCAGCGCCGTGCGAGGGAAGACGTGTCACAGTGTTGCAGCGGTTTCGGCTCAGGGCAAAGTAGTTGTGGCGGCGCTGAGTCGCGAAGAGGTCCACGTCGGCAGCCGATCAGAGGCCAGAGGGGTGCGTCTTCGCCGAGATGGGGCATCGGTACACTTTGTAGACAACATCGACAGGGACTCCCCGGATCACACTTGGATAGGGGTTAGCTTTGCTGTCGTGAGCACCATATTCTAGACGGAAAAAACTCACTTTGCGGCGGAGAACCTTGCACCTCCAGCAAGCACCGCCAGCCGCTTCCAGGGCCCGCATGTCGCGACGACCATTTTCAGAAAGGGGCCCTCGACGGCCGCCTTTTGAGATGGATGTCTTGAGGGTGGAAACGTGCTTGCTAATCGAGTCGCTGATGCGCTCGCTGCGGCTTGGCCGGCGCACAAGTGGTTGGTCGTCATTGCCTAGTTCGACCGGTTGTGTGGATTCGGAATCGGGCTCTTGGATAAAGTGGGCGGCAATATCAAATGTTTGATGCTCGAGCACCACGGGCAAACCCGGCAAGCAAAGTGCGGAGTCAAGTTCAGTGGACGACCGGGAAAACGGAGAGGATAGACGGCGCGGGGAAGGCCGGGGCTTCGCAGGGGCTTGGGCTGGCTCGAGGCGCGACATTGAGACCTCGCGGCTCCTCACATCATGGTTGTAGCCCAGGCCCAGCTCCATGGCCAGAGTGTGCAACACGACAGCCTTGGATGGGTCGCAGTTCTTGAACCTAATCTCATCTCCGGCCCAGCCCTTGGATAAAAGCGACAATTGCCTGCGCAACCGTTGGCGGGCCAGACCATTCGGTGAGCCGTCCTCCAACGACTTTGCATCGTCAGAGCCAGCATCGGAACGCGACGCCGAAAAGATAGTACGGGTAGGAGAGGGCGCAGGTGGTGGTTGCGGTATATCGATAGGATAAGATGACTGCTCAAGCTGGGCGTTGTAGCTTGATGCAACCGGTAAAACACCTTCATCTTCGGCGAAGAGAAAGTCGGCGGGCATGCTCGTCATTGGGGGCCCGTAGTCGAGGTCCATGTTGGATTCATGGTGATTGATGGCGGGATCCAAGTCGCCGGCCCAAAGAGCGGCCTCAAGGTCGAAGTCGAGATCCATCGGGTCTCCGAGATATTGGGCGGCGGCGACATCCTGGCTTGGGATACCCGAGTTTCCAAGGTAAGAAGCAGGATTGAACTGGTCCGTGACATCCGCGGGATAATGGCTTGCAGTTGCAGCATTCTCCTCATCAATTCCCGCCAAGCGAGGTGCGCTGTGGAAGTTTGCTGCATCTGTGGGCGGGTTAGCAGGGGGTTGCTTGCTTCAGTTTCAACGACAGCAGTGGCCGTGATAAGAAAAATGATAAAATAAAATGAAATAAAACAAAAAAGAATGAGTAATGCGAAAGCGCGTGCTCATGCGCGCAGCTTGTCAGCGACCTTACCCATTTCACGATGCAGGGCCCGGAGCGGGCCGTTCTTGCTCTGCTTGTCGGTGTCGCAGAGCAACGGAAAGGCGCGGGAGTGGGGTCGGCCGGCAGGGCAGCGCGGAGGTCCACGGCGGTCCAAAGTGCCCGACAGGTGTCCACTTGCACGAGGGAAAGGGAGCGGGCCGGCGGGTCAGGGACTCAGGGCAGAGAACGAGTGCCTGAAACCATCAAGCAGCTCCCAGATCTCTCTTTTTCCTCTTCGGCCGGTGGCAACGAAAATCGGACGAAATGCAGACTCCACGAGAGGGGTCGAAAGAAAGGACGACGACCTCTCACGGATTTTCTTGTTCAGGCAGAAACCCGGCTGCCCTGCCCTCGCTTTCTGCAAGTGGCAGACCCCAAGCGAGGCCGCCGCCAATGACTCCGCCTCTGGGAGTGGGGAAAGGGCAGACGGGCAGACTGGCAGACTGCAGGTGGTCCGCGAGACGGGAGCCATGGGTGCATCACGCCAACTCCAGCCACGGACTGCTGCCAGCCATTCCAGGATTAGCTAAGCTGGGGGACGAAGGGAACTGGGGGCTTGTTGCTCAAACATGGAACCTTGAATTGCTTTGACCTCTCGTGAACGGGGCCAACTGCCGCGAGACTTCGTCAACTTCCCTGCAACGAGCGCCCGAGCAACCGAGCAACTGCAAAAGCCTGCCATCAAGGTTGCATCAGCGTGCATTGTAAATGGATGCCGACAGCCAGGACCGCCAGCCTGGACGGCCTGGCAGGGGTCTTCGGGAGGATGTGCCGCCGCTGCTTGCTTTTGCGCAACGAAGTTCCGCTCCCTCTCCCGACAGCACGCAGTCAGCCTCGGCCAAATGCTGACCATCGCAAAACTCGAAGTGCTTGCCAAACCGGGACCAGAGTGCCAACCAAAACTCGGCTGGCAGCCCTGCTGAAATCTGATTTGATGGGAAGGAACCGGGGAGAAGTTCGTGTCCCAATTTAGCGGTTAACGTTAAAACGATCAACTTTCTGCTTCGGGTCGCCAAAAGTGGAATGACCACTGCAGCTGTGCTGTGTGCATGTGCCGAACAAGAACCCGAAGAAACTTGCTCGTCATCCATGTTCGAAGCTTGTTCCGACCACTTAACCGTCTCCATGCGCGAGGAAGAGCGAGCCATTTACAGTTCTACCCTGGTTTGTTTGTTAGCGCGCCCCATTCGGCAGGGGTCCCGGTTCAAAAGTTGAAAACCCCTACCTTGATAGCCCAGCAACGGTTTAAAATGGAGGAAACTGTGATAAATAGAATCTTTTATAAAGACAATTCTAGTCAAGACCTTTTTTCCGTCGAAAAGGGCGCCGTTTTGCCGTTGAGTTGGAGATTTTGGCATGGACCCCGGTCTTGAAGTCGCGCGCTAACGAACAAACCAGGGGGGGACTGTACAAATCTCTCAACATTGAACAACCACATAACCATCCTCACAAGGACACTAACGTAACTCTTATAAAAGATGGTCTAAATTCCACATACTTCCTATAGAATTGAAGCTAACAACAGAAGAAATAGTAGTAGAATGGTGCTTTAGTTCCAGGTATAATAACACCGAGAAAATAGAGAGTAGAGTCTAAATACAGTTGAAGTACAGAACTTGCTGTTCTGGCGGCCGAATTTGGCAGGGCGGTGCCGCCATTTTCGGGTGCCTCAACAGTGCGGCGTGTGCGGGGCACTTGGTCGCAGCCTCCACTAATATACTACGAATCTCAAATGCTGAGAGAGGTTCGTAATTAGGTACTGAAAGCAAGCGTTTTCAGACAAACAGGATTCGATAACATATATCTCAACCTAGCCTGTTGATAGTAAAGAGAACCTAACTAAAGTTCCTAGAGAATATCTATCATCGGCCCTATATCCTATTATTATCGGGGAGATTACCTTTACTAGAGGGTTTAGAGGTTGTAGTTCTTTCTGTTAGTATATTATCTAATATATAGGTTCTAAAACTAAACCTATAATTTATTATTCGGTTAATATAGGTAGTAATTAAGGCTCTGGTAGGTATTTAAGTAATCTCTATTAGCTATTCTGGCTATAGTTTTTTAAAGTATATTTTGATAATATTAAGTAGTAGTTTTTTAGCTCTATCTATTACTTTATCTACTTTTATAGTAACTCTTTAAATAGATATTATATAAATAATAAACTCTTATTTACTAATAGAAATATAAGTAAGGTATTAGAGTTTAGTTTTATTATTAAAGATACCTTTAGTTACTATCTTTCTAAATAAGTATAAAGATAGTTCTAGATAGTTCTAGTTATACTAGTAGCTGATATATCGGAGAATATAGGTTTATTAAGAAAAGGTTACTCTATTAAATAGGTTAGTAGTAACTTTAAATACTTTAACTTATAGGGTTTTTAACTAACGATATTATAATATATATAATACTATATATAGTAAAGTCTTAAAAGTATTCTTCTATTATAGTTTAAACCTTAGGAACTAGGGTATTAATAGTAGTATTATCTAGGGTTAAAGGTAGTAAAGTAGGGTTAATAGAAAGCTAGTCTATATAGGTTTAGATTCTAGCTATCTTAACTTCTAGAAAATCGATATCTAAAAGGTTAGCTATATCTTTAGAAAGATTACCTATACTTATTACTATTAAAGGAATAGTATTAAAGATATAATAAAATTATAAAGTATCTAACTTCTATATATGTCACGAACCAACCATATAACGGGACCGCGTGGGGCGCAGCAGGACTGCCCTCACCCAATCGGCTGGGAAGCCAAGACGCGGGGGCCCGTTGGGTAGCCCAGGGACGCTGGCTACCCGGGACAAGCGGTAGCCTTGGATCGCAGTCTACCACGAGCTACCACGGGTAGACTTGGGTAGACGGGCGACCATGAGCTACCACACACAGGACAGGTACAGAGATACCTGGGACTTAGATGGTATATAGTCACTCGTTCTGGAGAGCTCTGGGAGTTCTCCAGTTAGCAATCACAACTACAGTTCGCTACAAGCTCGAGAGCCTACTGTTGAGACAAGTCTTTGTTGTGCACCCTTTGGCTGCACCGAACCTACGCACCCTTGAGAGAATACCTTCGACCGATACTGAACCCTAACAGGACGGGTCCAGAGACAGGTTCGTCACACGTTGCTAACTCCCTTTGATCTGTTACAGTTCAGGCTCGAAGGTAAAACGACATGGCAACTCAACCGACGCCGGGCCAGATCACGGCCGCGCTTCAGAGAGTCACCGAACGACTCGACGAAACTGAAGAAGAGCTTGCGAAGACCAAGGCCAGCAACGCGGCATTGGCAGCCCGACTTGCGGCGACCGAGGTCCACACCAAGGACCCGGCCAAGACGAAGGTCAAATTGGAGCAACCCGAGAAGTACGGGGGCGACCAGGAAGCCTTGCCAGGTTGGATCACGGAGATGCGGAACTATCTCGACCACAACTCGCACCAGTTCGCCACTGAGGAATCCAAGACCAGATACGCCGCCACCCGACTCAAGGACAAGGCCCTCAAGTGGTTCACGGGAACACTGAGTGATTTCCTCGGCGGAGCAATCCACAAACCCTTCACCAAAAAGGTCTTCGAGAACTACTCCGAGTTCGAGAGTGAGATTCAGAAGGTGTTCGGTGACAAGGACGAGAAGTTACACGCCCAGGAACGGCTAGGACGGCTGAAGCAGACTAGGTCAGCCACCGCCTACGCCACGATTTTCCGACAAGACTCCATGAAGGCAGAAATAGACGACGAGGGGCTGATGCACCTGTTCTACGGAGGACTGAAGGAGGAGGTCAAGGACGAGCTCTACAAGGAGAGCCGACCTGACACGCTCGACGAGTACATCGCCATGGCTGTCAAGATTGACGACCGATAGTTCGCCCGCAAACAACAGAAGAAGGGCAGCGAGATTCAGCGATCCGCAGGCTACCACAAGCCCAACGACAAAAAGAAACGCCAGCACCAGAGCACGTCATACGGCACGCACTCGGGACCCATGGACGTCAGCGCTGCCCAGGCACAATGGGCAGGAAAGAGAGATGGTGCCAAGGACAAATCAGGCATCACTTGTTACAATTGCGGCAAGAAGGGGCACTTCAAACGAGACTGCCGCAGCAAGAAAGAATGGAGACCGGTTCCAGGGAAGGAAGCTGCCACCATCGACCAAAACACGGTCGGAAGAAGAACCCGGTTTCTGGAGGTCGCAGCCGCCAGCTACACGCAGGACGACCTCGAAATCGACATTGACCGAGTCATCGAGCAGGACGATGAACTCACCGACTCGGATCGAGAAGACTTGATGAGCAGCAACCACCAGGAGGGAAATGACACCGCCCATCACGCTTTCATCGAAACGGATGACGAGGGAGAACTGGCTCCCCCGCGGCACATCCGACAAGTCGCTGAGGACTGGGGCATCACCCTGGTTCAGCAAGAGGACGGGCAATGGCGAACCCACGAGGGTGAAGGAGGAGTCAGCCCGAACCTCATTTTTCTGCAACAGAAGGTCCTAAGCCAACGGCAAAGGATCGAGGAGTTGTCAAGAGAGAAAGAAGAACTCGAGCAACTTCTCCAGAGAAGGAACGACCAGTACGGACAACTTTGCGCGGAACTCAATTTCGCCGGAAAACGAGTCCAAGAGATCACCGAGGCCAACAACAGGGCCGGGGATCACGTCGAAAAGACATTAAGAGAGGCACAGGCCTTGCAGGACGACATCCGCCAGGCACTTCCGCACCACACACCGTGGGATGGACCCACCAAAGAAGCGGAGGAATACGAAAACGGAGTACGATACCCCGAGCAACTTTTCGACTACGCACAGGAGCAGAATGTGGCGAAAGGAAGAAAACAGCAGAGCTGGGAAGAATACTGGACTCGACATCAGCACATCGTGCGCGCCGGACGACAAACCTCCGACCTTGAATGGTGGGGTTTTCGGGGCAAGAACAACACGGAGGGATTCCAGTTGTTATCAGAAGACCACGAGCGGGTGGACCCACGAAAAGAAAGTCACATCTACCTGCCCTGGTTCCAGTGCATCACGCACGAATGTCGGTACCACTTCCAGGACAAATTTCGCAACAGTTTCTGGCCCACAAGAGAGGAAAAGGGAATGCAACCCCTGCCCATCAGATGGGTATACGACAGCGGCGACGCTCCCGCAGGCATGTTGTGGGACACCCAACGCACTCACGAGGGCAGGCTGAGGGTTAAACCCAAGGCAGCCTGGCCCCGACGCTGTATGGCGGGCGTAGGAGTCAACGAATGCCGAAGCGCAGACTGCCTACCACACGCCGACGAGAAAATCTGGGGATACATGGAACAGCAATCCCAGAGGAAGCCACACCAGAGGACGAGAGCGTCCCGAAGGAACGAGAGGCGCCCAGTTGAGGCATGGGCGGCCCAATGGCTCCAAGAACACCAGACGATCGATGCCGCAAGCCAAGGTGCGGACAGGGACGCCTTGAAACACCACGAGAGCTTGGGAAACGGCTCAGGGCCCTTCGGGGGGCCCGGAAATCGCTAACTCCACAACAACGGAGACAGGCCGCACAGTACAGGAAGAACTGGCGCAAGCACAAGCCTTACAACGACCTCCCAGCAGACGAACACGA